TATGTTCAACGAGAAGACTCTTTGTACAAACCTGACGAAGTGAGTAAATTTACTTTCTTTAGTAATTAATTTCTTCCTTTTGAATAATTTAAATTGATATAGATTAAATTTTCTAAGATTTCAGATAATTTTCAAAAAATTTTAAAATTTTCAAATTTTCCAAAATTTCCAAACTTTCATTAAATTTTCCAGTATCTTCAGAAAGTGTTTTTCCTTACTTTCAGGTTGCACTGATGATGGCCACGGCCGAAAGCGCTTTGCACTGATATTTATTAAAGAATTTTGCACGAAATACAAAACTTTTTCATTCTTCAAATTTAAAATTATCAGGATTTGAGAACAAAATTATCAGATTCCAAAAAAAACTATCAGAAAAAGTTTCTGTCAACTTTTTTGACTTTTTATCTCTATTTTCATTTTTCGGGTTCTAGCTAGGACTCTGGTAATTATAGCTCTCAACAAGAGCTTCAAAAGAGGTTATTCAAGACTTCGAGCCCAAGGGCTTCATTTTCAAGATAATCGGTTTTGAAGCTTTTGCAAAATTTGAGACAAAGTTTTAACTTTGAGCCTCAATATCTTCAAAAGTATTTAAGATATAAAATTGAATCTTATTTTATCTTGAAGATTATTTAATTCTGATTCAGAATATATAATTTTACAGTATATTTGTTACCATAATAACCGAGTAATCAGCAATTTTGTGAAAGAATGTCAGATTATTGAAGTTTTTTAAGCCCAAAAATTGCAAAAATCGTTTTTATTTTTTTGCAAGCCTTAAAACCCTAAAAACAAAGTTACGTAAATGCTTTTCTACTTATTTTCACCTCCTCTTTTGATTAGTAAAGTCAAAAATTGCAAAATCCAAAAATTTAAAAATTCGAAGTTTTCCAAAGGGGTGTATGCATGGAAATTGGATTTTCAAATATTTCAAATGCTTGTATTTTGGAAACCAGTGAAGCTATTGGCATGAATCTTTTGCCCAATTGTAGCTCTTAATAAGGGCTACAAAAAAGGTGATTCAAGACTCCGAGCTCAAGGGTTTCGTTTTCAAGATAATCTGCCTGGAAGCTTTCACAAAATTTGAGGTAAAGTTTGAACTTTGAGCCTCAATATCTTCAGAAGTATTTAAGATATAGAATTGAATCTTATTTTATCTTGAAGATAATTCAATTCTGATTCAGAATATATAATTTTACATTATATTTGTTACAATAATAACCGAGTAATCGGTAATTTTGTAAAAGAATATCAGATTATTGAAATATTTTGAGCTCAAAAATTGCAAAAAACGTTTTTTTTTTTTTTTACAAGCCTTAAAACCGTGAAAACAAAGTTACGTAAATGCTTTTCCACTAATTTTCACCTCCTCTCTCGATTAGTAAAGTTAAAAATTGCAAAATCTAAAAATTTAAAAATTCGAACTTTTCCAAAGGGGTATGCATGGAAATTGGTTTTTCAAATATTTCAAATGCTTGTATTTTGGAAACCAGTGAAGCTATTGGCATGAATCTTTTGCCCAATTGTAGCTCTTAATAAGGGCTACAAAAAAGGTTATTTAAGACTCCGAGCTCAAGGGCTTCGTTTTCAAGATAACCCGCCTGGAAGCTTTTGCAAAATTTGAGGTAAAGTTTCAACTTTGAGCCTCAATATCTTCAGAAGTATTTAAGATATAGAATTGAATCTTATTTTATCTTGAAGATAATTTAATTCTGATTCATAATATATAATTTTACATTATATTTGTTACAATAATAACCGAGTAATCAGCAATTTTGTGAAAGAATGTCAGATTATTGAAATTTTTTGAGCCTAAAAATTGCAAAAATCGTTTTTATTTTTTTACAAGCCTTAAAACCCTAAAAACAAAGTTGCGTAAATGCTTTTCTACTAATTTTCACCAACTCTTTTGATTAATAATGTCAAAAATTGCAAAATCCAAAAATTTAAAAATTCGAACTTTTCCAAAGGGGTATGCATGGAAATTAGTTTTTCAAATATTTCAAATGCTTGTATTTTGGAAACCAGTGAAGCTATTGGCATGAATCTTTTGCCCGATTGTAGCTCTTAATAAGGGCTACAAAAAAGGTTATTTAAGACTCCGAGCTCAAGGGCTTCGTTTTCAAGATAACCCGCCTGGAAGCTTTTGCAAAATTTGAGGTAAAGTTTCAACTTTGAGCCTCAATATCTTCAGAAGTATTTAAGATTTAGAATTGAATCTTATTTTATCTTGAAGATAATTTAATTCTGATTCATAATATATAATTTTACATTATATTTGTTACAATAATAACCGAGTAATCAGCAATTTTGTGAAAGAATGTCAGATTATTGAAATTTTTTGAGCCTAAAAATTGCAAAAATCGTTTTTATTTTTTTACAAGCCTTAAAACCCTAAAAACAAAGTTGCGTAAATGCTTTTCTACTAATTTTCACCAACTCTTTTGATTAATAATGTCAAAAATTGCAAAATCCAAAAATTTAAAAATTCGAACTTTTCCAAAGGGGTATGCATGGAAATTGGTTTTTCAAATATTTCAAATGCTTGTATTTTGGAAACCAGTGAAGCTATTGGCATTAATCTTTTGCCCGATTGTAGCTCTTAATAAGGGCTACAAAAAAGGTTATTTAAGACTCCGAGCCCAAGGGCTTCGTTTTCAAGATAATCTGCCTGGAAGCTTTTGCAAAATTTGAGGTAAAGTTTCAACTTTGAGCCTCAATATCTTCAGAAGTATTTAAGATATAGAATTGAATCTTATTTTATCTTGAAGATAATTCAATTCTGATTCAGAATATATAATTTTACATTATATTTGTTACAATAATAACCGAGTAATCGGTAATTTTGTAAAAGAATATCAGATTATTGAAATATTTTGAGCCCAAAAATTGCAAAAATCGTTTTTATTTTTTCACAAGCCTTAAAACCGTCAAAACAAAGTTACGTAAATGCTTTTCCACTAATTTTCACCTCCTCTCTCGATTAGTAAAGTTAAAAATTGCAAAATCCAAAAATTTAAAAAATCGAACTTTTCCAAAGGGGTATGCATGGAAATTCGATTTTCAAATATTTCAAATGCTTGTATTTCGGAAACCAGTGAAGCTATTGGCATGATTCTTTTGCCCAATTGTAACTCTCAATAGGGGCTACAAAAAAGGTTATTTAAGACTCCGAGCTCAAGGGCTTCGTTTTCAAGATAATCTGCCTGGAAGCTTTTGCAAAATTTGAGGTAAAGTTTCAAATTTGAGCCTCAATATCTTCAGAAGTATTTAAGATATAGAATTTAATCTTATTTTATCTTGAAGATAATTTAATTCTGATTCAGAATATATAATTTTACATTATATTTGTTACAATAATAACCGAGTAATCGGTAATTTTGTAAAAGAATATCAGATTATTGAAATATTTTGAGCCCAAAAATTGCAAAAATCGTTTTTATTTTTTCACAAGCCTTAAAACCGTAAAAACAAAGTTACGTAAATGCTTTTCCACTAATTTTCACCTCCTCTCTCGATTAGTAAAGTTAAAAATTGCAAAATCCAAAAATTTAAAAAATCGAACTTTTCCAAAGGGGTATGCATGGAAATTCGATTTTCAAATATTTCAAATGCTTGTATTTCGGAAACCAGTGAAGCTATTGGCATGATTCTTTTGCCCAATTGTAACTCTCAATAGGGGCTACAAAAAAGGTTATTTAAGACTCCGAGCTCAAGGGCTTCGTTTTCAAGATAATCTGCCTGGAAGCTTTTGCAAAATTTGAGGTAAAGTTTCAACTTTGAGCCTCAATATCTTCAGAAGTATTTAAGATATAGAATTGAATCTTATTTTATCTTGAAGATAATTCAATTCTGATTCAGAATATATAATTTTACATTATATTTGTTACAATAATAACCGAGTAATCGGTAATTTTGTAAAAGAATATCAGATTATTGAAATATTTTGAGCCCAAAAATTGCAAAAATCGTTTTTATTTTTTCACAAGCCTTAAAACCGTAAAAACAAAGTTACGTAAATGCTTTTCCACTAATTTTCACCTCCTCTCTCGATTAGTAAAGTTAAAAATTGCAAAATCCAAAAATTTAAAAAATCGAACTTTTCCAAAGGGGTATGCATGGAAATTCGATTTTCAAATATTTCAAATGCTTGTATTTCGGAAACCAGTGAAGCTATTGGCATGATTCTTTTGCCCAATTGTAACTCTCAATAGGGGCTACAAAAAAGGTTATTTAAGACTCGGAGCTCAAGGGCTTCGTTTTCAAGATAATCTGCCTGGAAGCTTTTGCAAAATTTGAGGTAAAGTTTCAAATTTGAGCCTCAATATCTTCAGAAGTATTTAAGATATAGAATTTAATCTTATTTTATCTTGAAGATAATTTAATTCTGATTCAGAATATATAATTTTACATTGTATTTGTTACAATAATAACCGAGTAATCAGCAACTTTGTGAAAAAATGTCAGATTATTGAACTTTTTTGAGCCCAAAAATTGCAAAAATCGTTTTTATTTTTTTACAAGGCTTTAAAACTCTAAAAACAAAGTTGCAAAAATGCTTTTTCACTAATTTTGATCTCCTCTTTTGATTGGTAAAGTCAAACATTGCAAAATCCAAAAATTTAAAAATTCGAATTGTTTCAAAGGGGTATGCATGGGAATATGATTTTCAAATATTTCAAAGGGCCATATTTTGGAAACCAGTAAAGCTATTGGCATGAAACTTTGGCTCAATCTGGGACTAGTGTTTGGTGCTCGCACCAGTACGCCAAAACACTCAAAACCAACAACCACCTTCAATTTTTCAATAAATTTTTAACTAGAAAATTGTAGTTTCAATAAATTATGGTAGATTAGCTTGTCATTATCGATTATTGAATCGTAGTCAAAATTATGGTAGAATTCGATAATTATCGGGTCATTGGCAACACTGACTGAGTATATCCTCATGTATTACTTTATTATGAGTGATTGATTTTCACTAAACAACAAATCTTTTCCAGGCGATACAATGTCGTGTTTCGATTGTGAATTGATGCCCAGGCTCCAACACATCAGAATTGGCGCCAAGGCTTTCAGGAAGTTCGAAATTCCCACTAGATTTACAGGATTGTGGAGGTAATCAGGTATATAACTTGTTAATTTTGAAATTCCTAAATTGTTTTCTCAGGTACATGACAAACATGTACGAACTGGAAGCGTTCAGACAGAGCTGTCCAGCCGATCAGGACATCATCAGTCACATTAAAAACCAGTTGGGTCTCAGAACAACTGCCAGGATAGAGCTGGAGACGCCGATTTACACCACGTCCATTCCTATACTAGATTCGTAAAGATATTTGCTTTTGTATTTTTTTTTATTTTTTTTTGGCGATTTATTGGGTCAGTATCAAAAAGAATAACCAATATTGGCCCTTGGTTAACATATTTGGGTCAGATACAGTTTGGAAACCAATGATCAATTATTATTATAAGGTATTTTTGGCAGTATTTGGTTAAATTTTACAATATATTTTACTATACAAGCTCATCATTGGCCTTAAAACAGAAAAAAATTGTGATTGAACAAAAACCAGATTCAATAGTTCATTTTTATGTTTGACTTTTTTTTATTTTCCTTTCCACTGTAATAACAGTATAACAAGCTAATTATTAAGGTATTATATAAATAATTATATATTTCGTTACTTGTATTTTTGTGTATTTATAGTTTAGTTTAGAAATACACAATCGGAGCTATATTTGAGGTTGCTAATTATACAGTTGAATGATTGTATAATTCAATAATAAATTCAAAAGGAAAACAAAGTGTTGCTTGATTAAAAAAAAAAAATAAATAAATAAAAAGGTCATATTTTTATTTAAAAAATATATTGATCCCATCATGTCATACACGTGAAATTTTACATTGTTTTGCCAACAACATTGATATCACAGGAATAAATTTTCATATTTATCATGATCTAAAAGTTAGTTTATCACTAGCATTATCGGTCACTGGTGTCAAATGCTTAATGCCGTGAATGTAAGCTTGGTGAGGCAACAAGCTGCTCAAAAAACGATGAGTGAGTAGAGCCGTAAGACCCCATATCCGGAATTTGCCCCCTGTAAAAACGGGCATTGAAGCAAACGCCCCACGAAATTGAGTATAGCCAATGTTCTGAGGATTGCACAAATCTTCCAAGGCAACCGTAAACACTTGATCCACCTCAGAAGGATTAACTCTGAGCTCCTTAAGGTGGCGAATCTGAGCAATAACAGGCGTGACACAAATTTCAAGTCTCGTCACAATTAAACTACCGCTCCCCCATATTTCAATGTCGCTTTTTTTAATTCCTAATTCCTCTTCGGTTTCTCTTAAAGCTGTTTGCTCTAAATTTTTATCAGCTACATCCTGCATGCCTCCAGGAAAACTCACTTGACCGCGGTGAGTTTTCAAATTTGCCGCCCTCAGGGTGTATAGTAGCGCCACCTTTCCTTCGCTAACGCAAACCGGTATCAAAACTCCGGCTCGTTTGGTGGGTTTACGGGCGATCATCCTTATCGGCTTCAGACTGGAAAATTTCGCCATCGTTTTTTTCACATTTTCCTCACTTAATACGACTTCGGGCGCGTACAAACTGGTACAACGCGACCCCACGGATTTGATTAAGGCCACTCGGGATTTAAACATCATTGTTTTCTTACGGATTATTGCACATCACTGAAATTTGTTGTTGTGACGAATTGGGAACTGTCAATAATGAGTCAAAGTAATGTCAAGATTGTCAAGCGATCAGCTGTTAGTAGTGATGTCACTGAGTGGATTTTAATTTAATAATTATCAAAAATAAGTATTTTGGTTTTTACATTTGCAGTTCAAATTGATTTGGTTTATTTGAAGAAAGTATAATTTGATTCAGATGTAATTTTCATTAATGTTGGTAGAATTTAAAATTTTTAGATAATCCTAACCTCAAATTTGCACGTGTCAAAACATAAACAAAGCAAAGATGTCTCCAAAAACTAAGAAAAAGCCAAAATCCAATAAAAAGCTGAGCAGAAAAGAGCTCAGGAAAGAGAAACGCAAGGAAATAAAGGTAAAACGAAACGAATATTATAATAAACGCGGAAAACATGGGGGAGAATTGGAAGCCTTGGCAGAACAAATAGAAAAGGGTCCCAAGAAGAAGGATTTAAAGCCTAAAGTGAAAAAACCTAAAGAAGAAAAGCCCCAGCAAGCTCTGAAGAACAATCAAGTAAGTTCTAATAGGTTTAAATAGATTTTAATGAAAATCTAGGAGGTTGACCACCCTACCGTAATTTGTACACCAATTAGCCTTATTTTGGTAATACTTATGTAAATATTTCTGGTATACATGGTGATTTATGTAGGTCTTGTCTCTACTCATCCACCTGCAATTTGAAAAAAATATAATTCACTAGCTATGTAAATCACAGTATATATTTCTTCTAACATTAAGAAATTTTTTGTATTGACTCATAGTTATAAGAAAAAATAAAAAGGGAGTTTTATTTCCAAAGTCATAAACCCATTATCTCTACTCTATCTTAACTCGTAATGTTCTCATATAAATTGTTGCTTGAAGCCTTTGAATTTTTTACTTTGGTTGAGAAAAGATACAAGGAAGAAAAGATATGAGGCAGTGATGTTTATTTAATAGTATAATAACTGCGATCTTATCAACTACATAAATTGTAGAGTACTTAAGATACAATTGAGGTTTTTACATAGAGATTTATTTATTGTTGTAAACATGTCATCTCCATTGAGCAAAATGTTAGCTATTTGTAATGATTTAGACATTTTTATGGTTCTTTGAAAAATTGGTTGCACCCAGCTTAGGATTTGTTGTTATTTTTCCCTTTTTACCTGATTGAGCTGAAATTCAACTGAGATAAATAAAAATACTATTCCAGGCTCTCCTAGAGTAGTAAACTCCAATTCCTGACAATTCTAGTGTTAAATTTGAGCTATGGCAGTTTGAAACATTAATTTTGGCACTCAAACTACGATTTCTGATCATTTTAAAGTTACAGTTCAAATAGGGCAGTTTGAGAAGCTCATTTTGCATCATGGTTGAGCTGAAATTCAACTGAGATAAATAAAAATCCTATTATAGGTTCTCCTAGAGTAGTAACTTCGATTTCTGACAATCCTAGTGTTAAATTTGAGCTATGGCAGTTTGAAACGTCAATTTTGGCCCTCAAACTACGATTTCTGATCATTTTAAAGTTACAGTTCAAATAGAGCAGTTTGAGAAGCTCATTTTGCACAATGGTTGAGCTGAATTTCAACTGAGATGAATAAAAATCCTATTATACGCTCCCCTAGAGTAGTAGCTCCAATTTCTGACAATCCTAGTGTTAAATTTGAGCTATGGCAGTTTGAAACGTCAATTTTGGCCCTCAAACTACGATTTCTGATCATTTTAAAGTTACAGTTCAAATAGAGCAGTTTGAGAAGCCCATTTTCCACCCTGATTGAGCTGAAATTTAACTGAGATAAATAAAAATCCTATTACAGGCTCTCCTAGAGTAGTAAACTCCAATTTCTGACAATTCTAGTGTTAAATTTGAGCTATGGCAGTTTGAAACGTCAATTTTGGCCCTGAAACTACGATTTCTGATCATTTTAAAGTTACAGTTCACATAGAGCAATTTGAGAAGCTCATTTTGCAAACCGATTGAGCTGAAATTCAACTGAGATGAATAAAAATCCTATTATAGGCTCTCTAGAGTAGTAGCTCCAATTTCTGACAATTCTAGTGTTAAATTTGAGCTATGGCAGTTTGAAACGTCAATTTTGGCCCTGAAACTACGATTTCTGTATTTGGTGGATATTTGTGTTTTTGATGATTACCTATTTTCATGTATCAAAACTTATAATTTTCGAACAGATGAGATAACTACAGTCACTACAGAAGTATCAAAGAACGCTTAAGAACATTTGGAAGATTTCTAATAACTTCTAGAACATGCCAGTGCTTCATAATCATTAACATATTGCATGCCATGTGTAGGTATATTGGGAAAATATGCCACAAGGCCATGCGTGTTATTCTCCTAATTTTTATTAAAAAGTGGCTGAAATGATAGATTATATATTGTTTATAGTACTTTCTTGTCAGGAAGATCTCAAATACGTATCGGGGGATTGGAGGGGGAACCAAAATGAGGCACTTTTTGATTCATTCCACCTCACTTGTTAGGGGGAAGCAAGGGGTAAATGGTAAACCACCCCTGAGAATTTTGACAAATATTTCCCCTTAGAAGAATTTTGCTCTTATTTCCTATATTTTCCAGTAATTTCCGATATTGCCTCATATAATTCCCCATAATGCCTTATAATTCCCTTATATTTCCGGTAATTTCTTAATATTTAACGTAATTTCTGATAATTCCCCAATATTTCCTTTATTATTGTCACGAAAATTCATCGAAAACCCGGCGAGAATTCTGAGAAAATAAATTTTTCATGTCGGGACTAGCGTCTTTCTATTCGCTAATTAGTGGGGGAACAATTGTTGGCTTCAACATCTAAAACAAGCTCAAAAGCAGATTTTCTGGACAATTTTAGAAATTTCCATATAATTCTATTTGGAAACTGAGTGATTCAAGAATAGTGACTTCATTAGTGATTTCAATATCAAAAAACAAGTCCACAGAGTGGTTTTTCTAAAATATTCCATTGCGTTTAAAATTTCACTTCGGCACAGAACTTTAGATTCAAAATCAAGTTTCAAGAAAGATACAGGATATTCTATGGTGAATAGATGACAGCAAACCGACGAAATGGAGCAAGTTAATCAAATCTTATCAGACTTCATGAAAATTTTGCAGGACAAGAGGAAGACTGAAGACAAAAGGAAAAACTCAAAGCAGAAGTTCGAAGATGGAATGAAAAACAAGGAGAACAAGACCGGCTTGCATTGCTTGCAGCACTTTTATAACAACAAGAATCCCAAAGAAACAAAAAGAAGAAAACCGAAGACAGAAAGAACAGAACCGGCTTGCAGCATTTTTACAACAAGAAAAACAAGAACAGGACTGGCTTCAGCGGAAACGGCAACTAAAGCCAGCATATACGTCCACCATACATATAATAATAATAATATAATCTGTAGGAAACACATTATAACCCAAAATTGACTAAATGGTAAATTATTTACCGAGTTAATTTCAAATACTTACAAAACTGGCATCGTGAATGGTCAGGTGCGCTCGTTACGTTACAAGCCCATGCGCCAATAATTCCATGATATTTCCTCCATATTTCCTAATAATACCTCGATATTTTCTAATAACACCTGGATATTTCCTCGATATTTCTTGATAATACCCCAATATTTCCTAATAATGCCCTGATATTTCCTAATAATACTACAATATTTCCTAATAATACCTTATATTTCTCCATATTGCAATGTACTTTCTTATATTTTCCCGTAATACCTAATGTTTCCTTGTATCTCACCATATTGCCACATATTTCCCCAGGCTGGTGTCAATAATTTCTAGGTGGTTTACCCGCTGGGGGAAAGCTACCCTAACTTATTTTTTCGCAAATACAAACCTACCTTGTGTTGCACATCGTTGGATAGCTTGTTGCTTTCTTTTTACAGTCTTAGAGCTTAGTTTTTGACAAATCAGTGTTAAAAAATTGGCATATTTTTAAAATTACCTATGTAGTAATTTTAACTATCTATCTCTTAAGCCGGAGTCTCATGCATCCGTTTTTCGGACGTCGGACGTCGCATGAGACTCCGGCTTCAGACAAAAGAATTCTGTCGTAAAAGTGACAAATACACATAGGAGAAACCAAATGTGTTTATTGCCTAACCCCTACCCCTCTTGTCTTAGAGTCTTGCCCCCCTAATGACTTTTCTAAAATGATAAACTACCCTGTGTGATAGGTACCTTTGAAAGGTTTTTTATACCTCTTTAGAGTTGTGACCATTTAACTTCAGCCACAATATAGAACATGATCACTTGACTCTTCATCTAGAAAACACAAAAACAATTTTGCCTGGCAAAGTTAAAGAGCATTCAGCTATTTTATTAAAGCCCATTAGGCTAGATTCACTTGAAACCAAGTTGTGCAGCTGACACCCAACAACAGATCATAATTCAACCATTTCTCGCCGTTATTCGGTAGTGCCCCACTGCTACACTTACCTTTAATAGTATAATCGTGCAACAAATGGGATCCTAACCTATTATGGCGTACGGCTTCCCCGGGGGACACCAATTACCAACCTAACCCAAACCGAATAGACAAAAATTGAGACGGAAAAATTCAAAAAGAGAAAAATTTTGAGAAAAATTTCTAAAGCAGAAGTATCTGTGAGCAGAAAACCATCATTCGAATATTTCACAGATTTAATGGGTTTGCCTAGATATTCTCTGTCATAAAGTGAAAGCTTAAGCTTTCACAGATAGTTTAGAGCGGAAAGATTGCCTAAATGAACTTCCAGATAAGGATGGGATTGATCAATCCGCCGACAAACTGCGTGAACCAGGGATAAGGTCAATCCCTAGGAAATCCAGAGGCCTGGGCCAGGAAGGAACCCAGGTCGCGAAGCTGATGAATGAGGAAATGCCTAGAAAGGCTGTAATGACCTTAACTATCCTGACCTTACTCCTTCTGGGACTGGACCACTTGTAATAGAGTATGCTATTATTTCTTAGTTTAAACTTGTGAATTTTATCTGTTTGGAAGTATTCTGAAGGAAACAATTCAAGAGCCGAGAATAGACAAACATTTATACAGAAAAATTTGAGAATTGGAAAGGAGAAATTTAGGGAAAATTGAGTAGACTTGAATATTTTTTGAATTTTCACTGTTTGGAGACACCCCAGCTTACCACAATGACCAGTGTGTCGTCAAAAGGACGTCCAATTTTGGACCACTTTGGTCTCATACGACTTTTGTCCAAAATAGAACGTCGTTCTGAAGACATGTTTTGGACGTCCAGCCGACGACAGTCTGAGGGACGTCTTACTATAGTCCTTCCTCAATATGTTTTTTTTTTGATACATCACTGTCGGGTAGTTATGCCCGACGCGACATGCAATGTTTTAAGGTTATTTAATCATCTTTCCACTAAAATCGAGAAAATTCAAATTCTTTATTAATTATTACAATTATTAGGTTTTAAGCACAGAAGAACTTTACAAAAAAGAAAAACGCGAACAAAAAAAGATCCAAAAAGACATGTCCAAACAACGAAAAGGCCAACTACTCGCAGCCAACGAAAAAGAAGACCAAAACATCAAAAAACTAGAAAAACTACTCAATTTGAATAAAAGAAAAACCAAAGGAGTTCCAAAAGGTTTCACTTCAGATGGCCTGGATTATTTGTTGGAAGTTTGCGATCCCGAGTACATGAAAAACGCCGCATCCGCTGAACAAGACTTGAACGACGGCAATGATAATTTCGAAGAAGATTTCGCCCTTATGACTAATACACATAATAAACCAAATCAAGACAATGATAATGCTTCTGAAGATGATTCATCATTAGACGATGACAGTAATAATTCATCAGACAATGAAGAAGATCCTTTTGAAGATGACAATAATGATGATTCGTCAGACAATGAAGAAGATTTTCCTGAAGATGACAATAATGATGATTCATCAGACAATGAAGATGAATTTGATTCAAACTCAGAATCAGACACCATTGAAACTAAAAGAAAAAACTCTGAATCCTCTGACAATGAAGCCCCAATCAAAAAACACAAAACAGAAGCCAATCAGAGTAACACTTGGGAAGATATCTACGGAAGACTCAGAACCAAAAATGGTGAAATTATTAATAGTGCACAAAATAAATACATACCGCCAGCAATTAGAGCTAAAATGGAAGCCAACACTTCATCAGAGGATAAAAAACGTAAAGAGCAATTGGAGAGGTTGAAAAGACAATTAAAAGGTCTTTTAAATCGTTTGGCTGAAAGCAACATGCACGGAATAGCGAGCCAAATTGAAGATCTTTACATGAAAAATAGTAGAAACGACATGAATGAAACCCTTACAGGCTTAATTACAGATTCCCTTATTACTCCTGTACTTAGTCCTGAAAGATTGCTAATGGAACATGTGGTTCTTGTATCAATTTTGCACGCAAACGTTGGCACTGAAGTGGGAGCTCACTTTTTACAAACAATAATCAAAAAATTCGATACTCTATCAAAACTAACCCAAGAAGACAAATCTTTAGACAACGTTGTCAATATATTGGCTCAACTGTACAATTTTAAAATGTTCGATGCCAAACTGTTGTACGAAATCTTGAATAAGTTGGCCAGCAAGTTTGATGAAAAAAATGTCGAGTGCATTTTACATATATTGCGAAGTGTGGGCTTTGGTTTGAGGAAAGATGACCCGTTGGCTTTGAAAAATTTGATTTTGGAGCTGCAGAAGCAGGCGGCGAGTGCCAGTCAAGGAAAAGTGAGCAAGTAAGTGAGAGTTGATTTACATATTTATGTCTTAAATTTTGCAAAACATCTAGTTTTTCTCTGATGTTAAATCTTAAGTCATTATTTTGCAAAACTTCTGGTTTTTCTATCATTTCCTATTTTGTTATTTTTCACTGGAAAAATTTGAAATTTGAATATGATGGGCTTCCAGCTTAGTTTTCCTCCTTTTCTCCTAAAAGTTTCACAATTTCCCTTCAGTAGTTTCATAGGAAAATATTAATATGTAAGAGAGTGCATTTTTGCTTAATGTTGATATTGCAAGTTGATTTTCAATAATTTCTCAATTTGTTATTTCTTATTGGAAAAGTTTGAAATTTCAATATGATGGGCTTCTAACTTCTTCCTTTTTCTCCTAAAAGTTTCACAATTTTCCTTTTGGTAGTTTTTCAGAAAAATATCAAAATGTTTGTGGGTGTATTTTTGGTTAATTGAGTTGATTTTCATAAATTTCCTATTTTGTTATTTTTTCACTGGAAAAGTTTGAAATTCAAATATGATGGGCTCCTAGCTTTTCCTTTTTTCTACTAAAAGTTTCAAAGCTTTCCCTTCTCTAGTTTTCCAGGAAAACTGTGAAATGTGTGAAACTGTATTTTCAATTAATCCAGTTATTGTAAGTTGATTTTCAAGATTTCCCATGATGTTATTTTCTACTGGAAAAAATTGAAATTTTGGGAAAATGAGCCTCTAACCTTCCTCTGCATATGCAAAAAGTCTCAAATTTTTCCCTTCACTAGTTTTCCAGGAAAACTTTGAAATGTGTGAGATCGTATCTTCAATTAATTCAGTTATTGTAGGTTGATTTCCAAGATTCTTCATTCTGTTATTTTCCATTGGAAAAAATTGAAATTTTGGGAAAATGAGCCTCTAACCTTCCTCTGCATATGCAAAAAGTCTCAAATTTTTCCCTTCACTAGTTTTCCAGGAAAACTTTGAAATGTGTGAGACTGTATCTTCAATTAATTCAAATAGTGTAGGTTGATTTCCCAGATTCATCATGTTGTTATTTTCCACTGGAAAAATTTGAAATTTTGGTAAAATGATCCTCTAACCTTTCTCTGCATATGCAAAAAGTTTCAAATTTTTTTCTCCTCTAGTTTTCCAGGAAAACTTTGAAATGTGTGAGACTGTATCTTCAATTATTTCAGTTATTGTAGGTTGATTTCCAAGATTCTTCATTCTGTTATTTTTCATTGGAAAAATTTGAAATTTTGGGAAAATGAGCCTCCAACCTTCCTCTGTATATGCAAAGAGTCTGAAATTTTTCTCTCCACTAGTTTTCCAGGGAACTTTGAAATGTGTGAGACTGTATCTTTAATTAATTCAAATAGTGTAGGTTTATTTCCAAGATTCATCATGTTGTTATTTTCCACTGGAAAAATTTAAAATTTTGGGAAAAGGAGTCTCTTACTTACCTTCCTCTGCATATGCAAAAAGTTCCAAATTTTTTCCTCCACTAGTTTTCCAGGAAAACTTTGAAATGTGTGAGACTGTATCTTCAATTAATTCAAATAGTGTAGGTTGATTTCCAAGATTCATCATGTTGTTATTTTCCACTGGAAAAATTTGAAATTTTGGGAAAATGATCCTCTAACCTTTCTTTGCATATGCAAAAAGTTTCAAATTTTTTTCTCCACTAGTTTTCCAGGAAAACTTTGAAATGTGTGAGACTGTATCTTCAATTATTTCAGTTATTGTAGGTTGATTTCCAAGATTCTTCATTCTGTTATTTTTCATTGGAAAAATTTGAAATTTTGGGAAAATGAGCCTCCAACCTTCCTCTGTATATGCAAAGAGTCTGAAATTTTTCTCTCCACTAGTTTTCCAGGGAACTTTGAAATGTGTGAGACTGTATCTTTAATTAATTCAAATAGTGTAGGTTTATTTCCAAGATTCATCATGTTGTTATTTTCCACTGGAAAAATTTAAAATTTTGGGAAAATGATTCTCTTACTTACCTTCCTCTGCATATGCAAAAAGTTCCAAATTTTTTCCTCCACTAGTTTTCCAGGAAAACTTTGAAATGTGTGAGACTGTATCTTCAATTAATTCAAATAGTGTAGGTTGATTTCCAAGATTCATCATGTTGTTATTTTCCACTGGAAAAATTTGAAATTTTGGGAAAATGATCCTCTAACCTTTCTTTGCATATGCAAAAAGTTTCAAATTTTTTTCTCCACTAGTTTTCCAGGAAAACTTTGAAATGTGTGAGACTGTATCTTCAATTATTTCAGTTATTGTAGGTTGATTTCCAAGATTCTTCATTCTGTTATTTTTCATTGGAAAAATTTGAAATTTTGGGAAAATGAGCCTCCAACCTTCCTCTGTATATGCAAAGAGTCTGAAATTTTTCTCTCCACTAGTTTTCCAGGAAAACTTTGAAATCTGTGAGACTGTATCTTCAATTAATTCAAATAGTGTAGGTTGATTTCCAAGATTCATCATGTTGTTATTTTCCACTGGAAAAATTTGAAATTTTGGGAAAATGATCCTCTAACCTTCCTCTGAATATGCAAAAAGTTTCAAATTTTTCCCTCCATTAGTTTTCCAGGAAAACTTTGATATGTGTGAGATCATATCTTCAATTAATTCAGTTATTGTAGGTTGATTCCCAAAATTCTTCATTCTGTTATTTTCCATTGGAAAAATTTGAAATTTTGGGAAAATGAGTTTCTAACCTTCCTGTGCATATGCAAAAAGTCTCAAATTTTTCCCTCCACTAGTTTTCCAGGAAAACTTTGAAATTTGTGAGACTGTATCTTCAATTAATTTAAATAGTGTAGGTTGATTTCCAAGAATCATCATGTTGTTATTTTCTACTGGAAAAATTCGAAATTGTGGGAAAATGGTCCTTTAACCTTCCTCTGCATATGCAAAAAGTTTCAAATTTTTTCCCCTTGCTAGTTTTTCAGGAAAACTTTGAAATGTGTGAGACTGTATCTTCAATTAATTCAGTTATTGTAGGTTGATTTCCAAGATTCTTCATTCGGTTATTTTCCATTGGAAAAATTTGAAATTTTGTGAAAATGAGCCCCTAACCTTCCTCTGCATATGCAAAAAGTTTCAAATTTTTCCCTTTGCTAGTTTTCCAGGAAAACTTTGAAATGTATGAGATCGTATCTTCAATTAATTCAGTTATTGTAGGTTGAATTCCAAGATTCTTCATTCTGTTATTTTCTATTGGAAAAATTCGAAATCTTGGGAAAATGAGCCTCTAACCTTCCTCTGCATATGCAAAAAGTCTCAAATTTTGCAGAGGAAGGTTAGGTCCTCTGCATATACAAAAAGTCTGAAATTTTTCCCTCCACTAGTTTTCCAGGAAAACTTTGAAATGTGTGAGACTGTATCTTCAATTAATTCAAATAGTGTAGGTTGATTTCCAAGATTCATCATGTTGTTATTTTCCACTGGAAAAATTTAAAATTTTGGGAAAATGATTCTCTTAAGTACTTACCTTCCTCTGCATATGCAAAAATTTCCAAATTTTTTCCTCCACTAGTTTTCCAGGAAAACTTTGAAATGTGTGAGACTCTATCTTCAATTAATTCAGTTATTGTAGGTTGATTTCCAAGATTCTTCATTCTGTTATTTTCCACTGAAAAAATTTGAAATTTTGGGAAAATGAGCCTCTAACCTTCCTCTGCATATGCAAAAAGTCTGAAATTTTTCCCTCCGCTAGTTTTCCAGGAAAACTTTGAAAGGTGTGAGACTGTATCTTCAATTAATTCAAATAGTGTAGATTAATTTCCAAGATTCATCATGTTATTTTCCACTGGAAAAATTTGAAATTTTGGGAAAATGATTCTCTAACCTTCCTCTGAATATGCCAAAAGTTTCAATATTTTCCCTCCACTAGTTTTCCAGGAAAACTTTGATATGTGTGAGATCATATCTTCAATTAATTCAGTTATTGTAGGTTGATTCCCAAAATTCTTCATTCTGTTATTTTCCATTGGACAAATTTGAAATTTTGGGAAAATGAATTTCTAACCTTCCTGTGCATATGCAAAAAGTCTCAAATTTTTCCCTCCACTAGTTTTCCAGGAAAACTTTGAAATTTGTGAGATTGTATCTTCAATTAATTTAAATAGTGTAGGTTGATTTCCAAGAATCATCATGTTGTTATTTTCTACTGGAAAAATTCGAAATTGTGGGAAAATGGTCCTTTAACCTTCCTCTGCATATGCAAAAAGTTTCAAATTTTTTCCCCATGCTAAATTTTCAGGAAAACTTTGAAATGTGCGAGACTGTATCTTCAATTAATTCAGTTATTGTAGGTTGATTTCCAAGATTCTTCATTCGGTTATTTTCCATTGGAAAAATTTGAAATTTTGTGAAAATGAGCCCCTAACCTTCCTCTGCATATACAAAAAGTCTGAAATTTTTCCCTCCACTAGTTTTCCAGGAAAACTTTGAAATGTGTGAGACTGTATCTTCAATTAATTCAAATAGTGTAGGTTGCTTTCCAAGATTCATCATGTTGTTATTTTCCAATGGAAAAATTTGAAATTTTGAGAAAATGATCCTCTAACCTTCCTCTGCATATACAAAAAGTCTGAAATTTTTCCCTCCACTAGTTTTCCAGGAAAACTTTGAAATGTGTGAGACTGTATCTTCAATTAATTCAAATAGTGTAGGTTGCTTTCCAAGATTCATCATGTTGTTATTTTCCAATGGAAAAATTTGAATTTTTGAGAAAATGATCCTCTAACCTTCCTCTGCATATGCAAAAAGTTTCAAATTTTTGCCTCCACTAGTTTTCCAGGAAAACTTTGAAATTTAGGAGATCAATTAATTCATTTATTGTATGTTGATTTCCAAGATTCTTTATTCTGTTATTTTCCATTAGAAAAATTTGAAATTTTTAAAAAATGAGCCTCTAACCTTCCTCTGCATATGCAAAAAGTCTGAAATTTTTCCCTGCACTAATTGTCCAAGAAAACTTTGAAATGTGTGAGATTGTATCTTCAATTAATTCAGTTATTGTAGGTTGATTTCCAAGATTCTTTATTCTAATATTTTCCATTAGAAAAATTTGAAATTTTGGGAGAATGAGCCTCTAGCCTTCCTTTACATATACAAAAAGTCTCAAATGTATCACTCCACTAGTTTTCCAGGAAAACTTTGAAATGTGTGAGACTGTATCTTCAATTAATTCAGTTATTCTAGGTTGATTTCCAAGATTCTTCATTCTGTTATTTTCCATTGGAAAAATTTGAAATTTTGGGAAAATGAGTGTCTAACCTTCCTCTGTATATGCAAAAAGTCTTAAATTTTTCCCTCCACTAGTTTTCCAGGAAAACTGAAATGTGTGAGACTGTATCTTCAATTAATTCAAATAGTGTAGTTTGATTTCCAAGATTCATCATGTTGTTATTTTCCACTGGAAAAATTTGAAATTTTGGGAAAATGATACTCTACATATGCGAAAAGTTTCAAATTTTTCCCTCCACTAGTTTTCCAGGAAAACTTTGAAATGTGTGAGACTGTATTTTCAATTAATTCAGTTATTGTAGGTTGATTTCTAAAATTCTTTATTCTGTTATTTTCCATTCTGAAAATTTGAAATTTTGGGAAAATGAGTCTCTCACCTTCCTCTGCATATGCAAAAAGTCTGAAATTTTTCCCTCCACTAGTTTTCCAGGAAAACTTTGAAAGGTGTGAGATTATTGTATCTTCAATTAATCCAGTTATTGTAGGTTGATTTCCAAGATTTTTCATTCTGTTATTTTCATTTTCCATTGGAAAAATTTGAAATTTTGGGGAAATGAGTCTCTAGCCTCCCTCTGCATGTGCAATGAGTCTCAATTTTTTTCCTCGACTAGTTTTTTAGGAAACCTTTGAAATTTTTGAGACTGTATTTTCCATTAATTCAGGTATTGTAGGTTCATTTTCAAGATTCTTCATGTTGTTATTTTTCATTAAAAAAATTAGAAATTTTGAGAAAATGAGCTTCTAACTTTCCTCTGCACATGCAAAAAGTTTCACATTTTTACTTTTACTAGTTTTCCAGGAAAACTTTGAAATGTTTGAGACTGTATTTTCAACTCATTCAGTTATTGTAGGTTGATTTCCAAGATTCTTCAAGTTATTATTTTCCATTAGAAAAATTTGAAATTTTGAGAAAATGAGCCTCTAGCCTTCCTTTACATATACAAAAAGTCCCAAATTTATCCCTCCACTAGTTTTCCAGGAAAACTTTGAAATGTGTGAGACTGTATTTTCAATTAATTCAGTTATTGTAGGTTGATTTCCAACATTCTTCATTCTGTTATTTTCTATTGGAAAATTTTGACATTTTGGGAAAATAATCCTCTAATCTTCCTCTGAATGAGAAAACTTTTAGGAAGTTTAGATCCTGTCAGATTCTCAGGACCTTTAGACACATTCTAAACTGCTTTTTTGGGAATGTGTTGAGAATACTTCAACCTCCTGCAAATTACCTGAATTTTCTTTGAAATGACTCTCCAGACTTGAATCTTGAGTCATCACTTTGTAAAGTTCCTGGTTCCTTTATGAAAAAACTTTTAGGATTAATAAATCCTGTCAAATTCTCAGGACTTTTAGATCCTGAATTCTGAAAATTTCTTGGTGATTTTATGAAAAACTTCAGAAACTCTGAACCAGGTGATCTGAAAACTTTCTGAATCTTTGCTCATAGGATTTTCAAGATCTAAATGCAAACCTCTTGATCCTTCTATGAGATTTTTATATCCCATTTGCAATCATCAGCTAAGAAGACTCTCTCTTTGCTTGGGAAATGTTGAAATTTCACCTACCAATTCAACTATAGGCAAGATGTGAAATCAATATCCTTGAAAATAGTTTTGAAACTATTATTATTATTCCAAATAGAGCAAAATTTCATTTTCAGGAAAAACGTTGTTCTTAGGTAATTTATTATTTTTTTAGTTCAAGAGTAAAATTCTTATTAGACGTCTTACTAGCCATCAAAAATAATAACGTCACAAAAATCCCCAATTATGATACCACGTATTCTGAACACTTGAAAAAAATCATGAAAGGCTTTATCAGAAAAGGCAATTATGTTACAGCCTTGAATATATCTTTGGAAGATTTATTAAAAGGTAAAAATCCTAATACGTATTAATGCATAATCTATAGTTGAATTATTTTATAGCTGACGAAAGAGGTAAATGGTGGGTAGTAGGTTCAGCCTGGACAGGAAATATAACCACTAAAACAGAAAAATCTACAAAATCAGACGAGTTTTCTGAAAAACTACTCCAATTAGCCCGCAAACAACACATGAACACTGACACAAGACGAAACATATTTTGCATTTTAATGTCCGCAGAAGACTATTTGGATGCCTTTGAAAAACTTTTAAGATTGGGCCTGAAAAATCAACAAGAAAGGGAAATTATCCATGTCCTTTTGCACTGTTGCCTTCAGGAAAAAACCTTTAATCCTTACTATGCAATTTTGGCTCAAAAGTTTTGCGAATATGATAGGAAATTTCAAATGACCATCAAATATTCAGTGTGGGATAAGTTAAAAGCTTTAAACAGTCATTCTGGATTACAATTATCAAATTTAGCTAAACTATTGATACATTTGTTTATTGAAAAAGGATTACCTATATCAACTTTAAAGGTAACTGTAGGTGTCTATTAAGTATTCCAAATTCATAATTATTATTTTTAGATTGTAGAATTTGGTCAATTAGATAAAATCACTTTGAGGCTAATGCGTCAAATCCTTTTGGGAATTTTGCTGCACTCTGACCTGGAAGCAGTACAAGGAGTTTTTGAAAAGGTGGCTCATTCGGACAAGATGAAAATGTTCCGGGAAAGTTTACGCCTGTTTATCCATCACTTTTTATTAAGGAATCTGAAAAGCGAGTCGGTGCCTCAAGAGCAAAAGCAAAATATGGAGGAAAGGGCTAAGATGGTTGAGAAAATTTTAACTGCGAAGGATACGAGATTGAGGCTTTAGTTTTGTATTGTTTTAAGGTTTTAATAAATAAAACTGTTGAAAATTTGTTATTTATTACCTGGGAAACTTATTAATTACAGTGTATCCAAATGGGCTAAAAATCCTCTAAAACTAAACATTTTCGTAAACTTTATACGACCCAAAAGGTTTATTATTGTGATAATTATTCGAAGCTGCGTAATAATAAATCCCTTTTGTTCCTAACGTGTTAACTGGCAAATAACGACCATATTGTGACAGTAATAGGGTGATGTAGGGATTAATCGATGCCTGATTTAAGCCCTAAAATTAATTAGATATTTATTGAAATATAATACTTATTATCAAGCTTACTTGGTGCTTATTTATTGGAGATATTCCCAAAGCTGCGCTTAAAAGCAAGGCTGCTAATAAAGGATTGTGTGCTTGATGGTGTATAGAATCTAAAAAAATTAATTAATTATTAAAATAAAAATTAGTAATTTTTACCTTGAGCTCCATTATCTAAAACACCCTGAGGATTTTGATATAATTGCCTAGGACTGACAACGATTCCTTCTCCAAATACCGTTAAGGGCATTAAAAGTATCAAGAAAAACTACAAAAAATAGCTTGATTAATTTGGTATCGAGTCAAAAATAAATTGCTTACCATTTTCACACACACTGATCATACTACAATGGTTAAATGCAAACTAAAATAATTTCCCTATAAAGGTTTATGGTAATTTATCGTAAAGTAAAAACTTGTGTTCTCTTCAAAGTCATTAGAGAAAGTTTCACTTTATCTTACTTAAGAAGTAATTATTAGGATTATGTAATGTTTGCAGTTGAAACAAAAACTTCATATCATAAGTTTGTGGTTTATTGAGCATATCACAAAAATCAAACAAATCAATTTACCTAAAAACTAATCACAAATGTGGAATGCTTGGAACTTAAATCTCACAAACTAAAAATGAAAATAAATAAGTGCTCAGCAAAACAATAAATCTATTTACAATAATAATTATTAAACAAATTCTTATGCACTATCAGTTACAGCCTCCGTATCACTAGCACCTTGTTGCATAAACTTTTTAATCCCATCCAATATAGCTTCCTTAAAGTCCTGACTATTTTTAAGCAAACTTACAGGATCTTTGAAGTTCGGATGTCCGACGAAATTTTTCGAGTCTTCCACTTCTATTATTGGGGCCTCATCCTTTTTATTAACCCTGTAATTATAATAATTGAAAACACAAATAATTGAGTACAAAAATAATTACTTTTGAAAAATATCCACTAAGCCAGGTACCATATTTAAAAGCTGAGAACCAAGTGTCCGTTCGAATTCCAACTTTTGGCGTTCCACTTCAAGTCTTTGCTGTTCGATTTCCAAGGATTTTTTGCCAAGTCCAAGATTTTCTTTTTGGACCATCAAAAGTTCCTTAAGTAAATTGCAAACTTCAGCATTATTATTATTGTTATTAACATTTAGTCCATTGCCATTACTAATCACAGTCTTTTGTCCGTTTTGTCCATTGTTCAAAATCAAAAAAGGGAAAGAGGGCATGTTGCCTTTATTGGTACTACTTATCGTCGCTGTTTGTAGTTTAGGCGTGGGCGTTGGTACTAGTTTAGTAGCAGGCGTTGGTACTAGTTTAGTAGCAGACGTTGGTACTAGTTTTGTAGCTGGAGTTGCCAGTAGATTTTTCGCTATATGTATGCGCGGCATCGTCAGAGGTTGAGCTGAGGTTGTTACTACAGGTTTAGGGGCGATTTTAATGGGGTGGGCTACAACTTTATTGTCGTCGTCTTCTATAATCATCGGAGTGATGGTCGAAGGCATCAGCGAAGAGGGTTCTTCGAATTCGTCGTCCGAACTGGAATAGTACCTTTGAGAATTATTGGAATTTGTTAATAGATTATTATAGAGAAATATTGTAAAGTTAAAATTTTGATCATTTTATTCAAAAACTACCTACTTGAGGTGCAAATACGAGATTTTGAGGAAATATTTTTGAGGCTTTAGAGGCAAAACATGCTAAAATTTCAAATCAGTTGAACTAAAAATTTTTTAAAAATATTCTCTTACCCATTACTATTCGAATCATAATCATCCCCATCATCATTCATAAGCTCAATATCGTCGATTTCCTCTTTAATATTCCCATTAGCAACATCGCTCAACAAATTATGATTATAAACCAAACTTTGCCTCAAAGCGTTTTTCCTACTCAAAATATCATCCATAGCTTTGTAATGGGGCCAATCCGGATCCACAGTACCAATTCCATGTCCCGCCAAAGACTTTTTAATCCTGTGATAGAGGCACTTCAAATTTCTAATTCTTGTCTTGATTTCGTCAGGGGTGCGGAAGAAGCCGTGCCGTTGCATATTGCTGGCGATCAGCCTCATTACCGGAGCCTTACGGTGAGTTAGGTAAAGTTTGTTCTGAACAGTGGGACTACCCCATAGCTGGATCAGCAATCTTGTTTCGTCTTCGCGGAAATTTGTAGTGCGTTTCTTTGGAGCGTTTCTGAAGTCCATGATGATGAGACCTGGAATAAGTTTTAGTTGAGATTAGCTTGGTTTTGTTGACAGCTGACTTTTTGGTATATAACAATTGCCTAATTAAGTTAGATTTTAGGGTGACCAAAATGACTTTAATAGGAATTTTGAAGGCTTAACCAGCCTTTGCGTATTCCGCAAGAAATGTTTCTTATTCAAAATAATATAGAGGATAACACAAACATATTATGAGAGGTATTGAGATCAAAAATTTCTAGAGGCAAAGCTAGAATAACATCAGTTTGAAATTAATATGGTGAACAATAAGAAGAAATCGTAGTTGCAATTCAAGCTTTCTATAAAAAACTTCATAGTTCAGAAGTATCGAAACTCCAACAACAAAAGGAAATTGTTTTAAATATTGGTTCTAAAGGCATTCCTAAAACGATGAAATTTCTTTTTTTTTTTTTCGAGATTTTGTATCCTAATGCCAATCAACATACCCCAAACTCCATACACTAAATTATTCTCAGATTTGAAGCCGAAATCTTTGAAAAAAGGCACTCAGAAAAATTGAAAAATTGATAAATCACCTCAAATTGCTTAACACGATTTTATCTCAGGAACTATAAGTGTAAATGAGCTGAAATTTTCAGGGGTTGTAGTCCCTTGATTGGGATAAAATTCAGTGAAAGTTTCAGCTTTCTATCTATAATAGAAAAAAAGTAATGACCTTTCAAAGTTTTCAAAAATCTAAATCATAAGGTAGGTAGGTACCTTCTTACTAAAACGATGAAATTTCAAATTTTTTTTTGTCGAGATTTTGTATCCTAATGGTCAATTAACATACCCCAAACTCCATACACTAAATTATTCTCAGATTTGAAGCCGAAATCTATGGAAAAAGGCACTCAGAAAAATTGAAAAATTGATAAATCACCGCAAATTGCTTAACATGATTTTGTCTCAGGAACTATAAGTGCAAATGAGCTGAAACTTTCAGGGATTGTAGTTCTTTGGAAAGGATAAAATTCAGTGAAAGTTTCAGCTTTCTATCTATAATAGAAAAAAAGTAATGACCTTTCAAAGTTTTCAAAAATCTAAATCATAAGGTAGGTAGGTACCTTCTTACTAAAACGATGAAATTTCAAATTTTTTTATGTCGAGATTTTGTATCCTAATGGTCAATTAACATACCCCAAACTCCATACACTAAATTATTCTCAGATTTGAAGCCGAAATCTATGGAAAAAGGCACTCAGAAAAATTGATAAATCACCTCAAATTGCTTAACATGAGTTTGTCTCACGAACTATAAGTGCAAATGAGCTGAAACTTCCAGGGATTGTAGTCCTTTGGAAAGGATAAAATTCAGTGAAAGTTTCAGCTTTCTATCTATAATAGAAAAAAAGTAATGACCTTTCAAAGTTTTCAAAAATCTAAATCATAAGGTAGGTAGGTACCTTCTTACTAAAACGATGAAATTTCAAATTTTTTTTGTCGAGATTTTGTATCCTAATGGTCAATTAACATACCCTAAACTCCATACACTAAATTATTCTCAGATTTGAAGCCGAAATCTATGAAAAAAGGCACTCAGAAAAATTGAAAAATTGATAAATCACCCCAAATTGCTTAACACGATTTTATCTCAGGAACTATAAGTGTAAATGAGATGAAATTTTCAGGGGTTGTAGTCCCTTGATTGGGATAAAATTCAGTGAAAGTTTCAGCTTTCTATCTATAATAGAAAAAAAGTTATGACCTTTCAAAGTATTCAAAAATCTAAAGGTACCTTCTTACTAAAACGATGAAATTTCAATTTTTTTTTTGTCGAGATTTTGTATCCTAATGGCCAATCAACATACCTCAAACTCCATACACTAAATTATTCTCAGATTTGAAGCCGAAATCTTTGAAAAAAGGCACTCAGAAAAATTGAAAAATTGATAAATCACCTCAAATTGCTTAACATGATTTTGTCTCAGGAACTATAAGTGCAAATGAGCTGAAACTTTCAGGGATTGTAGTCCTTTGGAAAGGATAAAATTCAGTGAAAGTTTCAGCTTTCTATCTATAATAGAAAAAAAGTAATGACCTTTCAAAGTTTTCAAAAATCTAAATCATAAGGTAGGTAGGTACCTTCTTACTAAAACGATGAAATTTCAAATTTTTTTTGTCGAGATTTTGTATCCTAATGGTCAATTAATTAACATACCCCAAACTCCATACATTAAATTATTCTCAGATTTGAAGCCGAAATCTATGAAAAAAGGCACTCAGAAAAATTGAAAAATTGATAAATCACCCCAAATTGCTTAACACGATTTTATCTCAGGAACTATAAGTGTAAATGAGCTGAAATTTTCAGGGGTTGTAGTCCCTTGATTGGGATAAAATTCAGTGAAAGTTTCAGCTTTCTATCTATAATAGAAAAAAAGTTATGACCTTTCAAAGTTTTCAAAAATCTAAATCATAAGGTAGGTACCTTCTTACTAAAACGATGAAATTTCAAAAAAAAAATTGTCGAGATTTTGTATCTTAATGGTCAATCAACATACCCCAAACTCCATATACTAAATTATTCTCAGATTTGAAGCCGAAATCTTTGAAAAAAGGCACTCAGAAAAATTGAAAAATTGATAAATCACCTCAAATTGCTTAACACGATTTTGTCTCAAGAACTATAAGTGCAAATGAGCTGAAATTTTCAGGGATTGTAGTCCCTTGATTGGGATAAAATTCAGTGAAAGTTTCAGCTTTCTATTTATAATAGAAAAAAAGTTATGAGCTTTCAAAATTTTCCAAAACCTAAATTATAAGGAAGGTAGAGTAAAAATCAAACGGGAAGAAGCCACTGTCATCAGCGCTGACAAAGAAAGCAGATTTCCTTTTCTCTGCGTCCCTACCATTTAAAGTGAGACAAACGATAACCCGTGTGGCTTCTTCTCGTTTGATTTCTACTCTACCTAATTGGGAAATAACATATGCACTGAAACATAATATGAAAGATAGGAAAAGTCCAGGAGAAAATAGGGTAACTAGCGAAGTGCTTAAAATAGGAGGGAGGAGATGATATTCAAGATGCTGTAAGAATACTCCTAAACAAATGCCTTATTGCGGAAAAAATCTTGAACACATGGCAAAATGCTGAAGTCATCTTATTGTACAAGAAAGGAGACATTCAAAATATCGAGAACTACACACCAATCAGTCTACTATCACACCTCTATAGACTTTTATCAACCTACCGCACAAACGGGATTTCGGAAATAATATACTACAACAGAACACCTACAAATCATCCGTAGTATTATTGAGAAAAGTACGGAATATAATATACCCTGCCAGAGGGGCATGGAAACAATTGGAAAAGGCTTCCATCCAGGAGTGGATTGCATTGGGCTAAAGAAGAAGAAGAAGCAGCCTATAATAATGTTTGTCAAGGAATAAGTTTTTGATACAAAATTACAGAGATGGTTTCCTCCTATCTGACTTACAAACTCCAAAACATTTGTAGGTAGGTACTAAAATTCTTGAATATAGGATCAAGCCAATTCGATTTTTAACTAAGTACCTACATTTTTAAATTTATTTGATGTAAGTATCTAATCATTAATGGTAGAGGAATCACAATAAATTCATTCCTGAAAATGTATCGTGCCTTTAACAATTTTTATTTATGACAAAATTACCCTGAGGAAACAAACTGGAAAGAAAGTTTCAAAAATGATTGCCCAAAGCTTCAGGCTAGCACCCTAATATCCAATAACTACCAAATCATTATTAGAAGCTTTAGAGGAAAATAATCATTACCACAAACTTCAGAAGAAATTATTGAAGCAGCAATACTAATATACACCCGAGGTGAAACAGAAGTGCGTCAAGAATAATTGCCAAAGGCTTCAGAACAGACTTCAAAAAAATTATAACATTTCAGAACACTCCAGAACTTCAATATGCATTTTGAGCAAATCTAGAACAATTCAGAATATTCATAAAGCACTGTAAAAAACAACAAAAATTGATTTGGAGTTTCGAAGCATTTTGGAAAACTTCAGAACCATTTTAGAAGACTTCAAAATAGTTTTGGAATGTTTCAGAATTCCGCAGAGTGAGTTTTGACTGTTGCAGGTCACTTTAAACTTTTAATAGACATTTAGAGAATTTCCAGAAGTATTTTGAAATGCTTTAGAACAATTTAGAAACGTCAGAATTATTTAGGAACATTTTAGAATTAGTTGGAAATCTTTAAAATTCCTCAGAGCTTTGATGGAGTATCCCAGGGCATTTTGGAGCTGGAATTTGGATCAAATTGAACCCATTTATTTAGTATCAACAGTTTTGCAGGTGAGAAGCTTCAAAATTGAGGTTATCGAATAAAAAGGGAAAATTTTCCAATACTGGCATTGAGAAAGATTTTGGCTCACAGCTCTAATAATTTCGATCCGACTTCAACATAATTAGGCTCTAATTGAAGTCAATTAAATTCTCTACAATCCTGTTAAATACGATTTTAATTTGTTTTAACAGTATCGCAGCTGAGAAGCTTCAAAACTGGAAAATTTTTCAAAAACGACATTGACACAGATTTTACTGTTAATTTCGATCCGATTTCAACTTAATTAGGCTCCAATTTAAGTTAATTAACCCCTCTACAAACCTATCTATTCTTAAATATAGGATGAAGCCAATTTGATTTGCAGAGCACCGAGATATAACAGGCCTATTAAGATCAAACAATGTTAAAATTCTAAAAAAAAAAAAAAAAATGCGACTCCGTTTTTTGCCGAATGCTGCGCACATCTTTTGAAATTAACTCAGGTTTCAAGGCTCTGCGCTGGCGAGAAAGTAGCCTTGTCTTATGATTGGTAAGCTTCGAATATTCGACCAATAAGGACAATGTATAGTTATTTGAATTTCAAAATAAGGACCCCTTAATAATCACACAATAAAGTAGGTAATATGAATAAGGCACTTAATTCCACTAGAATTTGAAACTATATTCACAAGTTGAAGAATCGCGAACAAGTTAACTAGTGTAGAAAATTAATCTCTCGTATTTAGGACCGGTTTATCAGTTGGACCTGGATAAACGGGTCCTCAATTAAATATTTTAACGTTACGTTAATTTTATCAAGAAAGATTAATTAAATGTTCAATTGATGGTGATGAGCCACAACTCTCAGAATATTATCAGTTCCAAACAGTAATAGTTTTTTTTTGAGTCACGAATTTGATTTGTCATAATATTTAAAAGAAAAACAAGTCGCAGAAAATTCAAATTATAGAACATTCAGTATAAAAACTCTTGAATTTAGGCTATTTGACTAATCCAATCAGGATTCACTTATTATATTGTCCCAACCTTCTTCTAGCAACCCTTGAAATTTCACATAAATTATCTCTAATCACTTTGAAGAAAACGGCACCCCAATGCAAAAATTATTTACCTACATACAAAAATATTTCAAATAGAGATTATACTGTTAAAAATATATTCAGGTACAGCAGATGAGTCAAATAATTGTAAACCAGGTTCCAAGAAAGGTTCTGCTTCAATTGAAAAAATATTTCTATAGGTACCTACATTTAGGTAGAATAATATGGACGAAAAAGGTGTTAGTCATGAGAAGTGCCAAATTATTATTGATATTATCGACTTATTTAATTCCAATTCTCAACTTTATACCTAAATACAATGTAATTGTAGATAAGTAGGTATTACATAAATCGATAAAATCTAGTTGAAATAGCTGTTCTCGGTAAAAACATATTATTAGCAGCTGCAGTTGCGCTTTTCCCAACAAATCCAGTATTGATCCAGCTTTGTTCCCATGACGCAGGGTTTGTTCAATACATTGCGCGCTGTCTTAGAAATATAATTTCAATCCAGCAAATATTAAGTCAAAATTACTTAAATAAATAAAGCTTTTCTTACCTGGTCAATTAAGTCACTGAATATTATTTTTGCTCAAATCTAGTCTTTCGTTGTACACATCGCATGCTAAACTAAGCTAAGAGGGGTGCTCAACCACCCTACTCAAATAAGTAATCGATTCGGACCCTAAAGGCATGCGCGAGGGCATTTATTTCAAAGCTTAAGTAGGGCGAGAGCTTATACCTACCTATAGAGTATGTCCTTGTTTGAAGCCGTTTTTGCAAAGCGCGCCAAACTTTTGTTGTTCTTTCGTCTTTGTTTGCGCCGTTCAGGTCGGATTCGGGTTGTCTTTATTGGGCTTGTCGGAATAACCGGCCCTAAATACAGGAATTCCCCTTCTAGTATTTGTAAGGGATGAAAATAACCGTTTTTTCTTTTTGGTATTTGTCTTGACTAGAGGTTTTTTGTTATACTTTGGAAGTCTAGTAAAATTTAACATTAGAAAAGTATAACAAAAAAAAGTAATGTTTCCGCCCAGGATCGAACTGGGGACCTTCCGCGTGTTAGGCGGATGTGATAACCACTACACCACGGAAACAATATACTAATTAATTGTGCAATAATTATTTAATTAATTTTTATAAAAGTTACTCAGTAGTACCTATACATACTATGATATATCAAACAATCTACGATTTTTAATGGTTCTATGTTCTATGGCTCTATAAGACGTCTATGATTTTTAATGGAAACATACAATGTATAAGTAATCCTGATAAAGAGCGGATTGCACAGATTTGAAAAGTATTGAGTGCGGAACTCTCTTGATAATGAGTAAATATGGTGCAGAGTTTTGGAAATGATGAATGAGTTCTGCAGCATTCTACTCTTTTTCAGATGATTTATTACAATTAAAAAGCTTGTTACAGAAGTTCAACGCTTCCAATTTGAGTAGAAACTATAAGGTCTATTTCCGCAGAAATCACGAACCAGTCAAAGGAAATTTCATTGGTTGAAAACAGAAGTAAGTATAACTCTGATAAAGAGTGGATTACAGAGATTTGAGCTGTTTTCTCGCGGTGGAACTGGTTCGATCCGGTTCAATTAGGTTCGAACCTGTACATTCTTGCGTTGAACCAGTGACGTCACATTGAACCTGGTTCAAAAAAGTTCGAACCAGACTCATGGCTTGTTCTCCGTTGACATAAGACTGTGGTTCAAACCTTCCATTTTCTCGCGTTCACAAATAGTGACGTCATCTACAAATTGGTTTAAACCGTAGTTCGAACCATTCGCCCCGCGAGAAAACGCCTTTGGAATTAATGCGTAGAACTTTACTGATGTGAAGTTAACAGCCAAAAGTTAGCGGCCATTTTCCCGAAGATTGCCGAACGACCAGTGGCGTCGGATAATAATTTAATTTGATCAATTTCAAATATTCGAGTGCACATCAGTTAGAAATAGTTAATAATAAATAATAATATATTTTATTTTTATGAAAAATAAACAAATTGATATGAAAATGCGGTACCAAATATAATCGAATAAAATTATCACATTCTCCCGGTTTTTAGCTTTCCAGTCTTTGCTGCTTATCTACTTACCTTTAAAGTATAATTTTTCTTAAACACTACACACAACAACACTTTTGAACTTGCAAGATAGAAACAAGACTAATAAAGCTGAACTTTAGAGTACAAAACACGCACTTGGATAGGGTCTTTTGATTTCCCATTTCTAGCTGTTATCTTAAAATACTCGATTTCTCGAAAACTACACATAGTAACACTTTCAAATTTGTAGGGTAGAAAGAAGTTTAATGAAGCTAAAATTTAGTGTATCAAACATTTACTTGCAATGGGTCCTTCAATTTCTCATTTCTGGCTGCTATCTTAAAATACTCGATTTCTCGAAAACTACACATAGTAACACTTTTAAATTTGTAGGGCAGAAAGGGGTTTAATAAAGCTAAAATTAAGTGTATCAAACATTTACTTGGAATGGGTCCTTCGATTTCTCATTTCTGGCTGCTATCTTAAAATACTCGATTTCTCGAAAACTACACATAGTAACACTTTCAAATTTGTAGGGTATTCTAATGATGAGTGAATTTTCTGCAAAACTCGCTATCGCTTGTCTCGCAAAGTTTTCCAAGTAATGGAAAAAACTTATTCAAGATTCAGGAAACCCATTATTTGGACTCATAAAGTGTGGAGAGTTCTTTCACAAGCCTTTCAAGCAACTCATAATGAAAGCAGTCTAGATTCTAGATTCTGAAAACTGTCAAGTCAAAAGTCAAGAGTACTATTTTGATAAAATATTGTATAGGTACAGTGGCGTAGCCAGGATTTTGTCTTGGGGGGGGGCAAATTTGCAGGAAGCGTCTCTTGCGGCCCTACCGCGACCGCTGCCGGAGGCAAAGCGCCGCAGGTGCGAAATTTTTGGGTGCCACGCCCTTTTTTCAGGTTCTTTACGCTATTTTTGGGACTGTTTATCTTAATTTTGAAGAAATATTCATAAAATTTAAGGGTCTTGGAGGGGGGCAAATGCCCCCTTGCCCCCCCCCCTGGCTACGCCAGTGTATAGGTATAATAATTATTACAATCACACGCACCTACTACGCTACTACTATATAATTTGCTATTTAATAACACACTAAGGAATTGAAATCAAATAACAATAATTTATTACAAAATGATATAAAATTCAGTACCTATCAAGAGAAAAAGTTAAAATAAAATAGTAGATAGGTACTTTTAAATTATTGCATCTCCAAATATAAACTATTAATTCATAATAATGAAAAAAAAATTGTTATGCACCATCAGGTAGTTTAAACCATTGGGTCAAGGAGTTTATTTGAATGAAGGCCACAAAATTGTCTTTGAAGGGAAAAAATGTACATCGTTTGAATTTTTATACAATCGGAACTTAGTTTTTCGATTAATGTCCTCATTGTATAATATCCTGCCTTCATTAATATTCTTGTGATGAAAATTTTTATTGCAAATTAGGCCTTTAATGGCAACACATCCTGTTCGAAATGTTTCTTCAATATGATGCATTTTTTGAGTTTAATTTATTTTAAATTATTTTATGTCTAAACACACACGTGCGTCTTCTAGGAATTTTTGAATGTTTTATTTAGTTTTTTAATTATTTTTAGTTTGCTTTTCATGGTCGCTGCATTTACTTTATTTATTAGCTAAAGTTGTATTTGCAAAACTTATTCAATTAATAATGATTTGAGTATACATTGCGAAATTCTTTTGATGAATTTATTATGTTTTGACTGATTTGTTGTTTAACAATAACGTAAGAACTACAAAAAAAGTATCTATTATCTCTGGTATAATTCTATATAAATAAGAAAACAAAAAGACTCAAGACGTTGTCCAAACCAAAAAGTCTTAGCATTAAATTAGTTAATAATCGATTTTGTTTGCAACAAATATTAATAAATAAATAATCGAATTAATTAGAGCCGGTGAAAATCGAAAACCATTGACCTTATAGCATTGATATAAGTGAATCAAACCCAAGTACTTTGCGCGCATTTCTTCGTTGGTAGTACTGTTTGACGGTGGTACAAAAGTTTTGATTATCGGACACCGGCAATAATTATTCGTGATTGAAAACAGTGAATCGTTTTTGTGATACTAAAAATGCTGGAAGGATGGAAATTAGCAGTGTCCAAATGTAACAATAATTAGTTTAATAATAATAATAATTGTATAGATTATAGTGTCTTCTTTGTCAAACTATTTCCAGTTTATGTTTATATAGGGAACTTTTGTGGATAGTTACTATAATTGTCCATTAGTCCAAATAGCATTAAATTACTTAATATTTTTTTCCCCTGCAAAAATAATTATATATAACGGAATAAAAATTCTAGTCAATGTCGGTGAAAGTCTGTTTATTAAAATGATGTAATTCGTACATTTTTTACATTTTACTTCCTATACTGATAAAGACTGATTTTGGAATTCTTCATGTTTTTTCCAGTATTCATCATACCTCAAAGGTACATCTTAGGCATAATGGGATTTCTGGCAGTAGTAAACGCTTACACCATGAGAGTGGTACTGTCAGTAGCCATAACCGAAATGGTAATGCCTATAGTACATAATGAAACAATCGATTCACATTCCTGTTTGGACGATTGGCAAATGAATACAACTTTTGTACATGATACGGTAATAAAAAAATTCATTTAGGAAAATGCCTGACTAATAAAAAATCTTCTAGACATCATCAAATTTGTATCCATGGACTAATCAGCAACAAGGCATCATTCTAAGCTCGTTTTATTGGGGCTACGTGCTTACTCATATTCCAGGTGGAATGATTGCGGAAAGATTCGGAGGCAAATACTCTTTGGGATTGGGAATGCTTTGTACAGCAATTTTTACTTTTATTACACCGTTTGTGATTTACGCTACAAATGGAAACTGGATTTCTCTTGTGGTTGTTAGGGTTTTAGAGGGACTTGGCGAGGTAAGAATTTCATTAGACAATTTGCCTTGATATCTTTTCCAATTTTGAAACAATACACTATCAGCAAAGGGGGAAAGTTGCCAGGAAAACTTTTCAAATTATAAGCTGGAGCAACTTCAAGACCAAAGATAATGATGAGAAGCTTCAAACATCATCAATTCGTTGACAAATAAGCTCTTTTCCTTTACCTACCCCACTTTAAGGACGAACAAATATTTCAAAAGCTCAGAATTAGTAGAAAGACTTTGATCAGTCAAAGAATCCTTCCTTTCCTTACGGATTTTCTATGACAGCTATCGAAACCAAATTTAAATCAATTGTAAATCCTGATCGGAACTACAAAAAAGGCTCCTTGTTACGATTCTTTACTTCTGAGGTAAACGACTTTGAAACTTGGCACAAATTTTCAAATTTGGGTACCAATTTTCGAAAACTGTTCCAGATTTAGAGTTCAAACCTGTTTTATCTCGTAAAAAAATTAATTCTGATATAAAATCATCAATTAAACATTGGTATTGTTGAAATATTAGCTGATTTATTATGAATGATTTTGTGGAGCCATGTCCCTATATAGACCAAAAATTGCAGAATTCGTTTTAAATTTTATTCAGGCCTTCAAATATCAAAAATAAGAGTTGCAAAAATGCTTTTCTACTAAATTGGACCCTTCCTTTCAGTTAAAAAATTGAAAAATCCGAAAATAATACGTTGAACTTAATCCTCTAGCATCCAGATTCAAGTATTATTCTGAATGGAAAGTCTTTGTGAGGCTCATTATCAACAGAGTTCCACTCACTATTTCCAAATCTCTGAAATCCGCTCTTTATCCAGAGTTATTTATACATTATATTTTCTACTGAAATTGGAAATGTTGAACTTTTGTAACAAGCTTTTTAAGTACATAGTACCTCATCCAAAAAAGAGCTGGTTCCGCAAAGTTCTACTCATCATTTCCAAACAAAACTCTGCGGAACAAGCGACAGCGAGTTTTGCAGCACATTTATTTATTATTATTTAGTTAGTTCATGGTTCATGGGTTATGGGAAGGAGGAAACAAACTACTTATCTTACGGCAACGTTTTGTATATTCATGGTATATTTTTTCAAGTATACTTTCCTCCTTCCCATAACCCATAAACTAACTAAATAACAATGATCCAGGAAAATGAATATTCTTTCAATTTATTCATTATCAGCAAGTTCCACTCACTAAGTACTTCCAAGTCTCTGCAATCCACTCTTTATCCAGGAAGTATTTAGCTATAATAATTTCTGAGAATGAGAAAAATGCTTCACTAATCATTTCCAAAACTCTGCGGGACGAGCGATGGCAAATTCCCCTGCAAATTTACTCATTATCAATTAAGTTCAATTAATTACTTCTAAGTTTTTGCAATCCGATCTTTATCGAGTTGGAAATGTTGATCTTCTGTAACAAACTTTACAATTACTTTAACTTATGTGAAAAAAAGTGAAGCAGAGTTTCAGTCATTACTTCCTGAAAGTTTCAAGTTAATCTTATCCGAAGTATTTTTCAGGATTTTTCCAAGGTGATTTACCGTGAATATTCCAACTTTTTCTGGTATTAAGTTAGAAAGAACCGCACATAATTTTATTTCTGAGCTTCAAATTTACATCAAATTCACCTGGTTTGATAAAAAGATCCAGTTTGATGAATCCTAAAAGTTTCAAGCCGATCTGATACTCCGAAGTATTTTTCAGGATTTTTCAGAGGTGATTTGACGTGAATTTTCCAGCTTTTTCTGGTATTAAGTTGGAAAAAAACTCATAATTTTATGTCTGAGCTTCAGATTGACTTCAAACTTGCCTTGTTTGATGAAAACATTTTGATTAATAAATCCTGAAAGTTTGAAATTGATTTGGAACTCCGAAGTATTTTTCAGGATTTTTCGAAGGCGTTTTCACGTGAATTTTCCTACTTTCTCTAGTGGAAAAAACCTCATAATTTTATTTCTGAGCTTCAGATTGACTTCAGACTGGCCTTGTTTGATGTAAACATCTTGATTAATAAATCCTGGAAGTTTGAAAACGATCTGATACTCCAAAGTATTTTTCAGGATTTTTCAGAGGCGATTTCGAGTGAATTTCCCAACTTTTTCTAGTATTAAGTTAGAAAAAACTTCATTATTCTATTTCTGAGCTTCAGATTGACTTCAAACTTTTCTTGTTTGATGAAAAAATCCTGGTTAATAAATCCTGAAAGTTTGAAATCGATCTGGTACTCCGAAGTACCTATTTTTCATGATTTTTCAAAGGTGATTTGACGTGAATTTTCCACCTTTTTCTGGTATTAAGTTGGAAAAAACCTCATAATTTTATTTATGAGCTTCAGATTGACTTCAAACTTGTCTTGTTTGATGAAAACATCCTGCTTAATAAATCCTGAAAGTTTGAAATCGATCTGATACTTCAAAGTATTTTTCATAATTTTTCAAAGGTGATTTGTCGTGAATTTTCCAACTTTTTCTGGTATTAAGTTGGCAAAAACCTAATAATTTTATTTCTGAGCTTCAGATTGACTTCAAATTTGCCTTGTTTAATGAAAACATCTTGGTTGATAAATCCTGAAAGTTTGAAATCGATTTGATACTCCAAAGTATTTTTCATGATTTTTCAAAGGTGATTTGACGTGAATTTTCCACCTTTTTCTGGTATTAAGTTGGAAAAAACCTCATAATTTTATTTATGAGCTTCAGATTGACTTCAAACTTGTCTTGTTTAATGAAAACATCCTGCTTAATAAATCCTGAAAGTTTGAAATCGATCTGATACTTCAAAGTATTTTTCATAATTTTTCAAAGGTGATTTGTCGTGAATTTTCCAACTTTTTCTGGTATTAAGTTGGCAAAAACCTAATAATTTTATTTCTGAGCTTCAGATTGACTTCAAATTTGCCTTGTTTAATGAAAACATCTTGGTTGATAAATCCTGAAAGTTTGAAATCGATTTGATACTCCAAAGTATTTTTCAGGATTTTTCAAAGGTGATTTGACGTGAATTTTCAAACTTTTTCCGGTATTAAGTTGGAAAAAACCTCATAATTTTATTTCTGAGCTTCAGATTGACCTCAAACTTGCCTTCTTTGATGAAAATATCCTAGTTAATAAATCCTGAAAGTTTGAAATCAATCTGGAACTTCAAAGTATTTTTCAGGATTTTTCAAAGGTGATTTAACGTGAATTTTCCAACTTTTTCTGGTATTAGATTGGAAAAAACCTCATAATTTTATTTCTGAGCTTCAAATTGACTTCAAATTCACCTTGTTCGATCAAAAGATCCTGTTTAATGAATCTTGAAAGTTTCAAGTTGATCTAATACTCCGAAGTATTTTTCAGGATTTTTCAAATATGATTTAACCTCACAATTTTATTTTTGAGTTTTATATCGACTTCAAATTTGTCTTGTTTGTTGAAAACATCCTGGTCAATAAATCCTGAAATTTTGAAATCGATCTGATACTTCAAAATATTTTTCAGGATTTTTCAAAGGTGATTCAACGTGGATTTTTCAACTTTTTGTGGTAATAAGTTGGGAAAAACCTCATAATTTTATTTCTGAGCTTCAGATTGACTTCAAATTTGCCTTGTTTGATGAAAACATCCTAATTAATGAATCCTGAAAGTTTAAAAACGATCTGATACTCTGAAGTATTTTTCAGGATTTTCCAAAGGTGATTTAGCATGAATTTCCCAACTTTTTTTGATATTAAGTTGAGAAAACCCTCATAATTTTATGTCTGAGCTTCAGATTGACTTCAAATTTGCCTTGTTTCATGAAAAGATGCTGGTATCAGGTTAGAAATAACCTCATATTTTTATTTTTGAGCCTTAGATTGACTTTAAATTTGCGTTTTTTGATAAAAACATCCTAACTGATAAATCCTGAAAGTTTGAAATCGATCTGATACTCCAAAGTATTTTTCAGATGTGATTTCAAGTGAATATCCCAACTTTTTTCAGTATTCAGTTGGAAAAAACTTCATGATTCTATTTCTGAGCTTCAGAGTCACTTCAGACTTGCTTTGTTTGATGAACACATTCTGGTTAATAAATCCTGATAGTTTGAAATTGATCTGATACTCCGAAGTATTTTTCAGGATTTTTCAAAGGTGATTTAACGTGAATTTTCCAACTTTTTCTGGTATTAAGTTGGAAAAAACCTCATAATTTTATTTCTGAGCTTCAGATTGACTTCAAACTTACCTACTTTGATGAAAACATCCTGGTTAATAAATCCTGAAAGTTTGAAATTGATCTGGAACTCCGAAGCATTTTTCAGGATTTTTTAGAGGTGATTTCAAGTGAATTTCCCAACTATTTCTAGTATTAAGTTAAAAGAAACTTCATAATTCTATTTCTGATCTTCAGATTGACTTCAGATTTGCTTTGTTTGATGAAAACATCCTGGTTAATAAATCCTGAAAGTTTGAAATTGATCTGATACTCCAAAGTATTTTTCAGGATTTTTTCGAGGTGATTTCAAGTGAATTTCCCAACTATTTCTAGTATTAAGTTAGAAGAAACTTCATAATTCTATTTCTGAGCTTCAGATTGACTTCAGATTTGCTTTGTTTGATGAAAACATCCTGGTTAATAAATCCTTAAAGTTTGAAATCGATCTGATACTCCAAAGTATTTTTCAGGATTTTTTAGAGGTGATATCAAGTAGGTAAATTTCTTAGCTTTTTCTAGTATTAAGTTGAAATCAACCTCATAATTTTATTTATGAGCTTCAGATTGACTTCAAACTTATCTTGTTTAATGAAAACATCCTGGTTAATAAATCCTGAAAGTTTGAAATCGATCTGATACTTCAAAGGTAACTTGTCGTGAATTTTCCAACTTTTTCTGGTATTAGGTTGGAAAAAACCTCATAATTTTATTTCTGAGCTTCCGATTGACTTCAAACTTGCCTTTTTTGATGAAAATATCCTGTTTAATAAATCCTGGAAGTTTGAAATCGATTTGACATTTCGAAGTATTTTTCAGGATTTTTCGAAGGTGATTTGACGTGAATTTTCCAACTTTTTCTGGTATTAAGTTGGAAAAAACCTCATAATTTTATTTCTGAGCCTCAAACCGACTTCAAATTTACTTTGTTTGATAAAAAGATTCTGGTTAATAAATCCTGAAAATCTGAAATCGATCTGATACTCCGAAGTATTTTTCATGATTTTTTAAAGATAATTTAACGTGAATTTTCCAACTTTTTTTTGGTATTAAATTGGAAAAAACCTCACAATTTATTTTCTGTGATACAAATTGTCTTCAAATTCACGTTGCTCTTGGTTAATAAATCCTGGAAGTTTCAAGCTGATCTGATACTCGGAAGTATTTTTCACAATTTTTCAAATGTGATTCAACACGAATTTTTCAACTTTTTCCGGTATTAAGTTGGAAAAAACCTCATAATCTAATTGCTGAGCTTTAGATTGACTTCAAATTTCCCTTGTTTAATGGAAACCTCCTAATTGATAAATCCTGAAACTTTGAATTTGATCTGCTACTCCGAAGTATTGTTTAGGGTTTTTCAAATGTGATTTAACGTTAATTAGCGAGCTCCGTAGGAAATTCACCATTCTTCGTCCAGGTTTACTATACATTATAATTTCTACTCAAATATTCAAATTGGAAATGTTGACCTTCTGTAACAAGCTTTTCAATTACAATAAAAGAATTCCACTCATTACTTCCAAATTCAGGCAATCCCCTCTTTATCCAGAATTACTTAAACCTACATTATAGTTTCTCTTCAAATTGAAATTGAAATTTTAGAAGAACGAAAACTGCTTGCACAATGGTTTTCAAAACTTCTACTAATAACTGCAACCAAACATTTGAGTACTACTACATCTAATTCCAATTATTCTAGGGTACTACTTTTCCTGCACTAACAACATTACTATCCAACTGGGTACCACTAAGAGAAAGATCAAAAATTGGTACCCTAGTCTACGCCGGAAGTCAAATAGGCACTGTAGTCGGCAATTCAGTCAGCGGAGCCCTGATAGCTGCGACAAACGATTGGGCGATTGCCTTCTACTTCTTCGGAGCTGTCGGAATCGTCTGGTTCATTTTCTGGATGGCGCTCTGCTATCCAGATCCGCAATCGCACCCCTTTATCAGCCAAAAAGAAAAAGAATACTTAGCGGAACACATTGGTAAGCCTAATGCAATGCAATTTGTTTAATTTAATAGTTATTTTCCAGCAAACATCTCAAGCAAAGACAAAGTTATCCCCTGGAAAGCTATACTAACCTCTTGGCCTATTTGGGCATTAGTTTTAGCCCAAATCGGACACGATTGGGGCTTTTTCACTATGGTCACCGATCTTCCAAAGTACATGAAAGATGTACTTCATTTTAACGTTAAACAAAACGGTATTTGGTCATCTGTGCCTTACATTCTAATGTGGATTGTGTCGATGAGCTCTGGATGGCTTTGCGATTGGTTGATACATAAAGGCCACATGAAAATCAGTAAAGCCAGGAAATTCTTTACGACTTTAGCCTCCATGGGTCCAGCGGTTTTTATTTTGATTGCTTCTTATGTTGGGTGCGATAGGGTTTTAGCAGTGACGATGTTTACCATTGCGATGGGTTTTATGGGTACTTTTTATTGCGGGATGAAAGTGAATGCTTTGGATTTGAGTCCTAATTATGCCGGTACCATTATGGCTATTGTGAATGGGATTGGAGGACTCACTGGGATTATTGTGCCTTATTTAGTTGGAGCTCTAACGGAAAATGTAAGTCTATAGTTTATTAAATAAACCACATTAATTGGATTATATTTTTAGCATTCTTTGGCAGAATGGCGCTTAGTGTTTTGGATAGCATTTGCAGTGTTTCTTGTAACGAATTTAGCATTTATTGTTTTTGGGAGTGCTAAAGTTCAGTCTTGGAATACGAATGAAGGAAAAGCAGGAAAATCTACTGATGTGGAAAAAACAAAATGTTGATAACAAAATTGTGATAAATTTAATTAATGCTGTGATTGAGTTTTGTATAATTACTTTACATTTAAGAGGATTTAGTAATGAAGATCTTTGAACTTGTGTTATTTCATATAGTAATTTACCAGGTTTAAGTAAGATTATGTACAAATAGTGTAATTGTTGCTTTATCAGAGCAATAAAATAAAATGATATTTGATATTATTTTATGTGCAGTTTTATTATAAATTTGTCTTTTATTGTGATTTGCTTTAGAACTTTAACTGGTTGATAAAGTTATTTGACGACTAACCCCAACCTTGGCTTTAAAAATTTAAATATTTTTAGAAATTCTTGACTATTTTGAGACTTTCATCGTTTGTTCTCTTTGTTTTTACATGTAGATTTCCAGAGTTTGTTATTTCGATATTCACAATGATTTACTAAATGTTTTCTGGGTCAGTTTTTATTTACAAAATTACAATCCACGAATCAAGAGCCGATAATAATGAAAATTTGAACTATTCCTGACTCTTGATTGAATTGACTAGAATTTGGACTATTGAATGCTGAAATTTGTCTGTTCTTGATTATATTTTGCTCGACAATCTTCTAATTTGTTGTCGTACGTATGTATATAGTTTAGCATTCAGATTAATTTTCCTCTTATTACTCCAACATTTTTTGTTTAACAAATTTGTTTATAAGCAAAAATTTCAATTAATTTATTATTCACTTTGGTTACATATTTTCCAATTAAAAAGTAACCACCAAAGGAATTTTTCTGATGCAATTATTCAAATTTCTAATTGATTTATCAATAACCAAATAACACTCCCAACAAAATAATAAATCGGGTATTACCGCCGATGATTTAGTACTTAAATAATAAAACAAAATTTCACCTTCATAGTTCAATTTCCTTATTGCAACAATAATGACATTCAATTTTTGGTAAAATAATTGAAAACTAATTCAAAAAAAAAGGGCATATGAAACCAATTACAAAATTAATTACGAAAAAAAAATACACGATTGAACATCTAGTTGGCCTTGGATCAATCATAAGTTTTCAAAAAAAAAAAAATTAAATAGTTTTTTGATCAAATAATTTTTGAACCACTGGTTCAATTTATAATGTTTTAAACAAATAGAAAATTCCGTCGAACATGCATAAATTAATTAATGTCAATATTAGCTGACGTTGAGGTCGAAAATTCCATACCTAGGGTTCTAAAATGTATAATTTATTCAGTTTCTCGTAATGCGTGGAAAGTAAGCAAACAAATTGGATTTTACAAAAATCATAAAGTTTTATCTTATTTTTAATTTTTTTTTAAATTTAAACAATGGTAGATTGTTTATTCGCCGCTGGTGCAAAATATATTCGTTTTACAATATTCATAAACTATTGTGGAAGTTTGTAGAATTTATTGTTTAGTTCTTAGTTGGTAATTTTTGTGGTAACATCGGCTTGAAAGTATGCGATTTATTAGTTAAAAGGGTGGACTTTTAGTATTGTTTTTTATAAAAATGTTAACCGGATGGAGATTGGCACTTTCAAAATGTAAGTTTTGTACAGGCTTTTTTTATTCCCTCATTTCCGACATTTTTTCACAAAATCGTTCATAAGTCAATTGATATTTTACAAATTTCGACGCATATTTATATATTCTTAATCAGAATTGAATTCTCTTCCAGATAAAATAAAATTGAATCATTTATCTCAAATGGTTTCCGAGATGTTGAGTTTCAAAGTTGAAAGTTGATTTTTTTATTTTTGAATGTGATAATACTTGTAGGAAATTTTTTTGAATCGGTTTTTCAAATTTTTAGCTTCACCAATCGAAAGAAGGGGTCAAATTTAGTGGAAAAGCATCTTCGTGATTTTTGTTTTTGGAGTTTTAGAGCCTGTAAAAAATTTTAAAAAAAATTTGACCCTGATGTTTCGACATGGCCTCACAAAATCGCCTATAACTTAATTGATATTTTATACATTTCAATAAATTTATGATGTGTTCTGAATCAAAATTAAATGCTCTTTAAGATAAAACTAGATTGAATTATTTATCGGTAATAGTTTTCGAGATATTGAGCCTCAAAGTTGAAACTTTGCCTAAAATTTTGGAAAACCTTTCAACCGGATTTTCTCGAAAACGAAGCCCTTGGGCTCGAGGCTCCAAAATACCTTTTTTGAAGCTCTAATTGAGATATACAATTAGACAAAATTTCGTACCGATGGCTTCTCTTGTTTTCAAAATATGGCCATAAGATATATTTGAAAATGAAATTTCCTTCTTATACCTTGGAAAAATTTCAATTTTTAATTTTCAGTTTTTCAAATTTTTGACTTTACCAATAGAAAGAGGAGGTCAAATTTAGTGGAAACGCGTTTTTGTAATGTTTTTTTTTTGGGTTTTGAGGCCTGCAAAAAATTAAAACTGATTTCTTCCATTTTTGGTCTCAAAAAATGGTAATAATCTGACATTGCCTGGCAAAATCACCCATAGCTTAGTTAATATTTCACTAATTCTAATGTATAATTATATATTCTTAATCAGAATTAAATTGTCTTTAAGATAAAATAAGATTTAGTTCTTTATCTCGAATAGTTTTTGAGATGTTGAGCTTCAAAGTCGAAACTTTGTCTCAAACTTTGGAAAAATTTCGAAGCCGATTATTATGAAAACGAAGTCCTAGGGCTCATTGCCCCAAATAACCTTTTTTAAAGCCCCAATCGAGATCTACAATTGTACGAAATTTTGTATGGATAACTTTGTTTGTTTCCAAAATATGGCCCTTTGAAATATTTGGATATGAAATTTCCATGCATACTCCTTGGAAAAATTTCAATTTTTAACTTTATAGTTTTTCGAATTTTTAACTTTACCAATAGAAAAAGGATGTTAAATTTAGTGAAAACGAGTTTTTGTAATGGTTTTTTTTCGGATTTAAAGGCCTGCAAAAAATTGAAAATGATTTCTTCAATTTTTGGTCTCAGAAAATTTTAATAATCTGACACTGCCTCGCACAATCACCCATAACTTAGTTATTATTTCACAAATTCTGATGTATAATTATATATTCTTAATCAGAATTAAATTGTCTTTAAGATAAAACAAGATTTAATTCTTTATCTCGGATAGTTTTTGAGATGTTGAGCTTCAAATGCGAAACTTTGTCTCAAACTTTGGAAAACTTTCGAAGCCGATTATTATGAAAACGAAGCCCTAGGGCTCATTGCCCCAAATAACCTTTTTTGAAGCCCTAATCGAGATCTACAATTGTATGAAATTTTGTATGGATAACTTTGTTTGTTTCCAAAATATGGCCTTTTGAAATATTTGGATATGAAATTTCCTTGCATACTCCTTAGAAAAATTTCAATTTTTAACTTTTTAGTTTTTCGAATTTTTAACTTAACCAATAGAAAGAGGAGGTAAAATTTAATGGAAACGCGTTTTTGTAATGTATTTTTTTCGGATTTTAAGGCCTGCAAAAAATTAAAAATGATTTCTTCAATTTTTGGTCTCAGAAAATTTTAATAATCTGACATTGCCTCGCACAATCACCCATAACTTAGTTAATATTTCACAAATTCTGATATATAATTATATATTCTTAATCAGAATTAAATTATCTTTAAGATAAAATAAGATTTAGTTCTTTATCTCGGATAGTTTTTGAGATGTTGAGCTTCAAAGTCGAAACTTTGTCTCAAAGTTTGGAAAACTTTCGAAGCCGATTATTATGAAAACGAAGCCCTAGGGCTCATTGCCCCAAATAACCTTTTTTAAAGCCCCAATCGAGATCTACGATTGGACGAAATTTTGTATGGATAACTTTGTTTGTTTCCAAAATATGGCCCTTTGAAATATTTGGATATGAAATTTCCTTGCATACTCCTTAGAAAAATTTCAGTTTTTAATTTTTCTAGTTTTCCAAATTTTTGACTTCACCAATAGAAAGAGGAGGTCAAACTTAATAGAAAAGCGTTTTTGTAATTTATTTTTTTGAGATTTTAAGGCATGCAAAAAATTTAAAATTATTTCTTCAGTTTTTGGTCTCAAAAAATTTTAGTAATCTGACATTGCCTCGCAAAATCTCCCATAACTAAGTTGACATCTTACAAATTCTGATGCATAATTATAGATTCTGAATCAGAATTAAATTGTCTTTAAAATAAAACAAGATCTAGTCCTTTATCTCAAATAGTTTTCGAGATATTGAGCCTCAAAGTTGAAACTTTGTCTCAAACTTTGGAAAACCTTCAAAGCCGATTATCTCGAAAACAAAGCCCTAGGACTCGGGGTCTCAAATAATCTTTTTTGAAGCCTCAATCTAGATCCATAATTGGACAAAATTTCGTACTGATACCTTCTCTTGTTTCTAAAATATGCTCCTTTTAAATATTTGAAAATGAAATTTCCTTGTCTACCTACTCCTTGGAAAAATTTCAGTTTTCAAATTTTCAGTTTTTCAAATTTTTGACTTTACCAATGGAAACAGGAAGTCGAATTTAGTGGAAAAGCGTTTTTGTAATTTCTTTTCTTGAGACTTTAGGGCCTGCAAAACATTGAAAATGATTTCTTCAATTTTTGGTCTTTTTCAATAATTTGACATTGCCTCGCAAAATCACCCATAACTTAGTTAATATTTGATAAATTCTGATGTATATTTATGTATTCCTAATCAGAATCAAATTGTCTTTAAGATCAAACAAGATTTAGTCCTTTATCTCAAATAGTTTTCGAGATGTTGAGCCTCAAAGTTGGAACTTTGTCTCAAATTGTTGAAAAGTTTCAAAGCTGATTATTTCGAAAACGAAGCTTTAGGGCTCGGGGCCCCGAAAAACCTTTTTTGAAGCTCTAATTGAGATTTACAATTGGACGAAATTTCGTACCGAGAGCTTTTATTGTTTCCAAAATATGGCCCTGAGATATATTTGAAAATGAAATTTCCTTCTTATAGAAAAATTTCAATTTTAAATTTTCAGTTTTTCAAATTTTTATTTTACCAATGGAAAGAGGAGGTCAAATTTATTAGGAAAGCGTTTTTGTAATTAATTTTTTTTGAGGTTTTAAGGCCTGCGAAAAACTAAAAATGATTTCTTCAATTACAAACCTAGTACCTATACATATTATCACTACTGTGAACATCCCCTAATGTAAACCACCCAGTAATGTGAACACACAAAGAAAATGTTTATTAGATTCTGTAGAGTGACCAAATTGTATATCTATAAAATGAACAGTAATAATATGTATTATAATATGTCCGTCATTTTGAATAAAAAAAGAACATAAGTATGTAATTGAATATGGGGAAATGAAATATTTTCTAGCAAAAGATTTGTTAGTGTTAACGCTCATAAGATGTAGAGAAAGAATTATCAAAAAGTTCTGGGAACAAAAAAAAAAGCAAACAATTAACAGAATTTTTCAAAAAAATATTTGATGTAAGTAGATATCTAAATACATATTGTGTTTTCACTTTACGTAAATATAACAGATGTGTTTATAAACTGGGCTTTTCCCAATATAGAATATTATAGTAATATCAAAGTATAGTACATATTTAAAACTTTATCAGTCATTGACAGAATTGTAATATTTACAAGCGATCACATAATTTTATTCTGATTCCAGGTTTTTTAATACCCCAAAGATACATTCTTGGCATAATGGGATTCTTTGCCATCGTCAATGCTTACACAATGAGAGTATCATTGTCTCTGGCAATCACAGAAATGGTGGTACCTTTAAAAGCCACAGATTATTATGATCCCGATGCTTGTATACCGGAAAAGTCAAATGTTTCAATAAGCGCCATCAAAGTAAGTAAGTAAACAATTTATTGGTAAACTTGTGTGTGGAAAAATATCCACACATTTAACGCAAAATATATCAATTCTAGGACCAAAGCACCCTTTATAATTGGGACGAAAAAACCCAAGGTCTAATCTTGAGCTCCTTCTACTGGGGCTACATCCTCACTCATCTACCAGGAGGCGTTTTAGCCGAAAAGTTTGGCGGAAAATACTCATTAGGCTTAGGAATCCTATCCACAGCCATTTTCACATTAATTACCCCATGGGTGATCATCGGAACTGGAGGAAACTGGAAAGCACTAGTCGCTTTGAGGTTCATCGAAGGACTCGGCGAAGGTACCACTTATCCGGCTTTGACGGCGCTTTTAGCCAAATGGGTACCGCTCAAAGAAAGAGCCACTATAGGAAGTTTGGTGTATGCAGGCAGTCAGTTCGGTACTATTCTAAGTAACTCAATAAGTGGTGCACTAATTAGACAAACAGAAGACTGGGCTTCGGTGTTCTATTTTTTCGGAGGCTTAGGAGTTGTGTGGTTTATTTTGTGGGTACTTTTATGTTACTCCGACCCTAACAGTCATCCCTTTATAAGTGATAAGGAAAAAGAGTATTTAAACAAAGAGCTGGCAAGTGTTTCGAGTGACAAACTACCAATTCCATGGAAAGCTATTTTAACTTCAGTGCCAGTATGGGCTTTGGTTATTACACAAGTCGGACACGATTGGGGCTTTTTTACTATGGTTACTGATTTGCCTAAGTACATGAAAGACGTACTTAAATTCAATGTGTCTCAAAATGGAGTCTGGTCTTCGGTGCCTTACATTGTCATGTGGTTAACTTCGTTGGGTTCCGGATGGCTGTGCGACTTTTTGGTCAGAAAAAACATCATGTCTTTAACATTTTCTAGGAAATTTTTCACTTCAATCGGTAATAGTATAATTTTATAACAATAAATGAATAAAGATACTATTTTTTTTTTGCAGCTTCTATGGGTCCAGCAATATTCATTCTAATAGCATCCTATGTTGGGTGCGATAGAATGTTAGCAGTAGCAATGTTTACTATTGCAATGGGCTTAATGGGTTGCTACTATTGCGGCATGAAGATAAACGCTTTGGATTTGAGTCCGAATTTTGCTGGCACCCTTATGGCCATCATAAATGGACTTGGTGCGACCAGTGGAATCGTTACTCCGTACTTAGCAGGAGCTTTAACTGAAGATGTAAGAACTTAAGTATAAAGCTTCAAACATTATAATAATTATTTTTAGCATACATTGATTCAATGGAGATTAGTGTTCTGGATAACTTTTGGAGTGTTTGCGGTTACCAATATGGTTTATTTAATTTTTGGTACCGGCAAGGAACAAAGTTGGAACAATCCGGAATTTAATTCGAAAACTAGAAATGTTACTGGTGATAAATCCGAAATGGGTAACGGAAACAGTATCAGAGATTACGAAGAAGAAGGCAAGACGAAAATATAAGTAATGATATTTATTTATATGATCTAGATCTATAGCTTTTGTTGAGTATTAATTTTAATATAAATTTTTTGTTTTACATGTTTTTTTTGTTTTGTTACTGGAGTACCTAGATAATACCTAAAATCTCTGAGCCTAAAATCAACTGAATACAACCACTGGGCACTGATACAACCGTAGGACAGCGCTTTACCTGCTCTGAGTTTGTGAATATCCTAAGGGCTGTCAACAATTGTCACATTTGTGTGTTTTTTAGTGCTTAAATTGAAAAACTAGCAAATCAAGATATAACACCGCACACCCACCCTTGTGACACAAAGTTGCAAAGCCCTGATTTAAAGAAATAATAGTCGGCAAGAACTTTGATCTAATATGAAAGAAACTTTGCAAGGTAGGTAGTGGATTGTTCAATAATGGTAAGAGTAAAAGTAATAGGTCAATAATTAGACAATCTTACTGTGCATGATATATTTCTTCTTCAAAATAGAGGTATTAACGCCAACTTAAACCTGATCACAATGTAATTGTAACTAGGAACATGGTTAAATTTGTTTGCTGCGTTTATCTTTCACCCAATGACTCCAGTCATGATGAGTTTCTATCAAAAAATCTGGTAAATTCATTTGCTTCTATCCAGGAAATTTTGATATTCATAACTCATAGTGGCTTAAAATTTTTGAAGAAAACAACCCAGGCTGGAAGAATTGCTGAAACATTTGCCAATTCACATGGTCTAACCCAGTTGGTAGAAGAGCCCACACGTATTCCCGATTCCGTTTCTCAACAGGGCCACTCACTGGATTTGTACTTTGCCACTAATCCAGATCCTTACAAGATCGATGTGTTTGGAAAAAGACAGTCAACCTGATGAAACTGGTTGAATACGTCAATCTGTGGTCAAAGCCCATCTCTGACAAATAGTATGAATTTCGTTCCAGAAGATCAACACTGAATCTGCTAGCGTACGTCAGTCATATTTGGTACTCGACGCTTAAAAAACATGGCGATTCCAGAATTGTAGAGTTGGACATCTTCAAGGCTTTTGATGATCAAACAGATTCGATCTATCAACAGTGATCTTGGCACTATTACCTTAACAATTTAGTCAAATTCAATACTTCAAAACTAACCCAAACAACAGTATTCTCAAATAAAAAAATCTTTCGCCAATGATAACCTAGCTCTAAGGATGTCCGGACACACGACATTTCTATCTATTAATCCATATTGCTTCTTCGATCCCCAAAATCGCTTCTCAAATTTTTTTGTCACGTGCAAGAAGCTTACTCCATTTTCGAATAACTTCTTCTTCTTTATAAGACTCAAATCAGACCATATATGGAATACTGTTCCGACATCTTGCTCCTATGTCTTTTAAGAGTCTGGGACATAGGTACCTAGAATATATGTATTTTGTTACAAAACCTCTCATACTGAGTACCTCCTGGAAAGAAGTTTCATGGACAAAACTCCTACGAAGTTTCAAAGACTCCTAAAGATGTTAATAGAACATTCAAGAAGGTCCAAAAAGAACATACATTTAGATGGGAATTCCCAGGGACATCCAAGAAGAATACCATAAAGTTATCATGAACCATGGGCGGCCATAAAACCCAGGTAACTATAGGTCAGTTATTGGGTATTTATCTAATAGCAATTCAGTATGAATTTTGCACTTGGTGGTGTATGCATAGTGTGTGCTTTCATTATATTGGCAGCTTTAGCGTCATTTAATTCTTTTGCAATACTTGCACCCCCACCACCTAGTGTTCCTAGAGCAGATAATCCAGCAATTTATTGTAAAAATGTCATCAGGCTTTAATCCGATAAAATGTAAAGGCGTTCTTGATTCCAGATCCAGGTATTATTGAATGTAGATGATGCACTTGTGCATCAGATGCCTTTGAGAACTATCCGATGTGCCAATATGCTAGCAATAAGTATAATACGAAGAAAAGTACATATTTATCTACATTCGTTTTATTTAAAAAAAAGGAGATCCCCACAATATTACTGTTCTTGGAAATTTGCCTGTTTATTTTGGATGCTGGAAGCTTGAGGACACCAAATTGGTTAATCCATAGTTCATTCTTGGTTCTTGGTCTGTGTGGAAGAAGGTAGAAAGTCACAAGGTTACAGGCCCAGATAAAGCTGACTGGAAAGGTTGAAAAAAGGGTGTAAGTAAATTGGAAAATCTTGTACACATCAGAAGATTACAATTACAGTGAGTGTAAAGAAAATAATTAGGTGGAAACAGTCATGGCAACTAGTACCCAAATACAGATAAAATCATTTGATGATTAAAAGCCTAATGAAATTTAAGTATTTTGATGTAGAGTGTATGTTCATGTACCAAAAGTAGAAAGATCCAGTAAGTTAGATGAGAGATCAAAACTATTGTTTATGATGAGATATACAGACAATGTATATATCGGCTTTGGGACATAGAAAAACAGAAAATTGTTGTTGCCAGAAATGTAAAATTTAACGAGAATAAAAGGGATATCATAGATCAGAACATTGAAAGGTAGAATAAAGAATTCCAAGAAGTGACAGATTTAAAAATCAATAATAATGAAGAAATACAAAGTATTAAGTAAATTAACTTACCAAAACAGATAAGAGTAATGAGCCCGTATGGTGGATGTACAAGAAAATAAAATTGCCAAGTACAAGATAGAGACAAAAGTGAATAAGAAAATCAAATTAAGATTGACAATAATGTAATACGAAGACGATCAATACGAGAAAGAAAAACTCTTAAGCATTTAGAAGAACATGCCATTGAACTGATGGCAGTACTATCAGTAGGCATATCATCAGACGCCCTTGAAAATAATGATAAGGCTATTGAAGCAGGAGAAAGACTAGTATAGAATGAAACATGAAAAATTATTCCAAAACCAAATAATGTTCAAATTATAGATTCGAAATGAATTTTCAGAGGATAAAAAAAAGGACAGTTTCGCCCCCGTAAGATCAATGCTGGAGACACCCTGTATAAGTTGCAGGAAGGAAAACATCTCTCCAGCCTGGATATCAAGTCTGCGGAGTTCTCAAGACCTTAAAAACCATGTCAAATAGGGGTCTTTACTAATTTGGACGTCTTCCATTTGGACTACATGACGCACCAGCCACTTTCGCTGTGGGTTTTTTTATGTTTCGTGCCAGGATTTATTAATTTTCTTTTGATCTTATATAGGGATTTTTCACTTTTTCAAGATTTATTTGATTCCATGTTTTCTTTGTAATTTATTTTTCGTGTTGCTTCGAGATTTCACTGAACGAAAAATTGTTCGAGGAAATCCGAAAACGCACTCGGGTATCAGACGAGATTATTGGTATATATTTGGCTGCAAGAGGCTTACTTGCCCAATCTCAGAGGGTGCGAAATTGAAAACCCTACTCAGAAACCTGGCTCCCTTTTGTCAAAGTTAGTTAGCTTTTTGGTGAACATTACTTCTGTGGGTAAACTTAGAAGTCTATGAAGAGAGAAGAGACTGAAGATAGTCACGCTCTTCTAGGCATGTTAATATGTTAAAGCCTGATATGGCTTATATGTTGATGAAGAACTAGATATCTTTACTCTGGCCGTGAATACATCAAATGATTCTCCTGAGCAGAAAGAAATAGTGTGCTTCAACTGTAAGAAACTTGACCACTGGGCTATTGGGTGTGTTCTACCAAAGTTTTGCTTCCAATGCAAGAAGGAAGGTGTGACTATAAAAAGTTGTTTAAACTTCAAGACATCGTAAGGCGCTATTAGGCTAAGACTCTAACCTATCAAGTGCCGATAAATCTAATGTACAACTTCTAACTTGGACCATGCATAGGTGAGCGCCCCTATCTTTGGGTTGATATTTTTGGCAAAGAAACCCTCGGCCTGCTGGTTTCGGAAACATTGAGAAACAATCCTTGGAAGTCCTGGTTAGAAGTTGCTATCCACCCTGAACAAGAAGAGACACCAACTTGTAGAGTGGCGAATGGTCAACGTTGTCAGATTATTGGAGTGTGCGATACCTATGACATTAAGAAAATTGTGTCCGTTTGATACAGACTATTGTCATGCCACATGTTTTGATCCTTGGTGCAGACTTTCAGCGTTCTATGGGTGTAGTCCCGGATCTTCGGCACAATTGGTTTTTCTCTAGTCTGTCCCTTCTGTAGAGTTAACTAGTTCTGAGGAGAAAGAACAGTTGAAGGAATTGTTGAACAGGAACTTCACACTTATGGGTAATAAGTTGGGGTGCCTTGACAGAGCCGAGCATATCATATTCATAAGAGCCAGACCTAAAGAACAGCAACAACTTTTAAACAAGGAGCTGGAAGAGATGCTGAAGATGTTCACAGCCCTTATTGGGCTTCTCCCATAATTATATTAAAAAAGGACAGTTTTGCATGCCTGTGTGTGGACCGTAAGATCAATGCTAGAGACTAAATTGCGGGAAGTAAAATATCTCTTCAGCATGGATATCAAGGCTGCGGAGTCCTCAAGACCTTAAACCGTGCCAAATAGGGGTCTTTACCAGTTTGGACGTCTTCCATTTGGACTACATGACGCACCAGCCATTTTCGCTTTGGGTTTTTTTATGTTCGTACCAGGATTTATTAATTTTTCTTTGATCTTTTATGTGGATTTTTCACTTTTTCAAGCTGTTGTCTTTGTAATTACTTTTTCGTGTCACTTCTGAGACTTATATTCGAGATTTTCATTAGTTGTTGTGGTGAACGTTGTCAGAGTGTTGGAGTGTGCGGGATACCTATGAGATTGAGAGTTTGTGATGTTTTGATCCTTGGTGCAGACTTTCAGCGTTCTATGGATGTAGTTCCGGATCTTTTTTTCTAGTCTGTCCGAAATTACTTCTGTGGAACCAACCAGTTCTGAGAAGGAAGAACAGTTGAAGAAATTGTTGAATAAGAACTTCACACTTATGGGTAGGTAATAAGTTGGTGTGCCCTGACAAAGCCGAGTATATCATATTCACAAGACCTAAAGAGCAGCAGCAACTTTTAGATAAGGAGCTGGACGAGATGCCCTTGGGCTTCTCCCATAATTATAATAAAAAAAGACAGTTTCGTCCGCCTGTGTGTGGGCCGTAAGATCAATGCTGAAGACATCCTGGATAAGTTGCGGGATGTAAAATATCTCTCCAGCCTGAATATCAAGTCTGCGGAATCTTCAAGACCTTAAACCATGCCAAATAGGGGTCTTTACCAGTTTAAACGTCTTCCATTTGGACTACATGACGCACCAGCCACTTTCGCTTTGGGTTTTTTTATGTTTCGCGCCAGGATTTATTCATTTTTCTTTGATTTCTCATGTGAATTTTTCACTTTTTCAGGCTTTATTTGATTCCCTGTTTGCTTTGCAATTTATTTTTCGTGTCGCTTCGAGATTTCACTGGTTTTATTTAATTTAGTTTATGGCATTTTTCTTAAATTTTATAAATAAAATCAAGGCACGTTAAAATTAAAGGCACGTTTTGTTTGTAAACGCTTAAAAGATAAAATTAGCAAACTATGGTGCATAAATATGCAATGCAAATTGGGACACAAAATGCGATCATTTTACGTTTGTTTTTTAATCTAGTTGATGTAGCGTTTTAACAACAAAAAATTATTATGGTAAAAGGTAAGTACTTAATAATGGTTACACATATCTACTATTTTTTTTCTTACTATGACTGTAACATGGTAAAACATGATTGAAAAATGCGTTTATTATCTCTGTTACTAGTGATGAGACGAGAGGCTCGTTTTCTCTCGAATCTTCGAGACAAGAATAGAGAGAGCGTAATATCGTCTCGTCTCACGGCATCATTATCGATTTGCCATTGAGACTTCTTGTTGATTGTCGGAATTTTGAGTGTATGTATCATAATGAAACTGTAGGCAGTCGTAGATTAATAATTCTACCTGCACACGTACCGGGGGGTCAATATTTGATAAAAATTAATCAGCCAAAAAAACATGGCAACAGAGTTTCGACTGATAAAAATTTTTATCTCATGAATTTTGATAGCAATAGGCAATCGATATATGTTTCATTAAATGCTCAATTTCTGTCAGTATTATCTATACATCAATTTAAAGTGTAAAAAGTACTACTTCAAGTGACTATACTATCATGAGATTTTCAGGTATATTAAAAACAATCAATATAATTTTGTGTCTAATAACTAAATCAATTCTTTTTCTAGATTATAATGGTACCAAAAACAAAGTCACCCTAATAGGCACCATGCTATTCATCCATGCCGTCCTAATCTACATAATCATCTACATGATGGTGTCGCGGTCTGGAACACAATGCCAAGACGTATTCCAAAGACCTTTCGAGCAACATCAAATAAGATTAAGACCAAAAAGACCCAACTTTCCTTTAGAACAATTAGAGTCCAATGACGCTACAAAATTAGTGAATTTCACCGAGTTCCAATACATCAACAATAACGAGATTATTTGCGCTAATTCGGAAGTTTTTTTGTTGATATTGATATCGTCAGCTCCAGGCAATAAGCCCAAAAGAGACTCTATAAGGAAAACTTGGGGTGATAGAGGTCCAGACGTAAAACTCCTTTTCATGTTGGGCTACTCAGAAAACAAAGCTACCGAAATGGAAATTGAAATCGAAAGTCACATTTATATGGACATTGTGCAAGGTAACTTTATAGACAGCTACAAAAATTTAACATATAAATCAGTCATGAGTTTGAAATATGTAGTTTACCATTGTCCACAAACAACCTATGTACTTAAAGTTGATGACGATTCCTTTGTCAATACGCCTTTATTGATGAATTTTTTAAAACATGACTTATCACCTTATGGTGCTGAAAATTTGTTTCTTTGCAACGACATGACTGGATCTCCAGCTATAAGAGAACCTAATTCCAAATGGTACATGCCCGTTGAAGATTTTCCAGACGATTGCTACCCCAGCTACTGTTCAGGATGGTACGCAATATTTTCACCCGATATTGCCTTCAAACTTTACAAGGCATCACAAAAATTGAAGTACATTTACATCGATGACGCTTTTGTATATGGAATAGCTGCCCAGAAAGCAAACGTAACTCACGTAGATTTAAGCTACTACACTTTAGCTTATAGAAATGAGGAGTTGTTGTTTAATGGGACATACGATAATATTCCTCTTTTGTTTGGGTATCCTAATATGGGGCCAGAGCAAATCGAAAGGGTTCATGGGTATTTTAAAAATAGGCCTGTGGAAAAATCGATTCATAAACTTTTAGGACAGGGAGGGTGATTATTTGTGGTGAAATGTGATATTAGAATATGTATTAAGTTTAGGAGATAAAATTTTATATTTATTTATTTGTTGAATAAATGTTAGTTTTTATAACAATCGATGATTATGTTTTGTAATGTACAAAAATCTCGTCACTCTGTCAAGAAAATGTACCTACCTACTGGAAATTATAGGCAGAAAATACATCACTTGACTTGCAAATTACTTTGAGGGTGGCTTAAGGGGGTAAAACTAATAATTGCGATTCATCGAGAAAAGGGTTTTTGTGAAAATATGGACATTTCCACCCTAGTCTCGGGCAGGAACAGTACTGGTAATTATAGACAGTACCAAAATACATCGTTTGGGGAACCTCAAGGGGTTAAAACTAATAATTCCGAAACTTATGGGTGGACCTCTGCGGGACGAGCGTACCGAGTTCCGCAGCCATCTACTCACCAATATACTGTTGAATTGTTCAAATAAGACATTCACTAGAAACATGTAGTTTTTAAACTAATTAGAATAACTCACATTTGAGTGAGTCAGGTTAGTATCGTAATTGTACAACATATTGATGAATGATGGCTGCGGAACTCGCTGCGCTCGTCCGGCAGAGGTCCACTCATAAGTTCCGCAATAATTCATTCATTTGTACTTGAATAACTTGTCACATCATGTTACCTACTAGTTTGGTAAAGTAACATTAATAATTCCTGTTGAAAGGCAAATTCACAAATAGTGAATATTCATAATCTCACAAATTTTGACTTTATATAATAAGTTATTGTTGAAGTACAAATAAGTGGATTATTGCGGAACTTATGGGTGGACCCACAGCCATCTACTCACCAATATACTGTTGAACTGTTCAAATAAGACATTCACTTGAAACATAGTAGTTTTTAAACTAATTAGAATAACTCACATCTCTCTGAGTGAGTCAGGTTATACTATCGTAATTAAACAACATATAGATGGCTGCGGAACTCGCTGCGCTCGTCCCGCAGAGGTCCACCCATAAGTTTTGCAACAGTTAACTCATTTGTACTTGAATAACTTGTCACATATTATGTTACTAGTTTGGAAAGTAACATTACTAATTCCTGTTAAAAGGCAAATTGACAAAAAGTGAATAATCTTACAAATTCTGACTTTATATATAAGTTATTATCCAAGTACAGAGTGTTTTTTTATAAATTGACACCCCACCTACAACAGCCTTCACCTTTACAAGTGGATCAGGGATTCATCAAGCCAAGTAGCTTGAATTTTTCCTCAAAGACTTGACTTGACTTGAAAACTCAAACTTTTGAAAATTTGATATTTGACTTGACTTGATTTTCGGTCTGAACTAATTGACTTGATATCAAGTAAAATCAAACTACTTGCTAGCGATCTGTGAAATGCGCATCGAAGCGTTAAAATAGGGGATTCACCGAGGTTAAATAGGGGATTCACCGAGGTTACAGCCAGTCCCGTTCCTGGGGGGTCAAGCGCCTGCGTGCAGGATTTTTTATTCTGTCCTTTAGGCAGGGGCGTACCAAAGCACATCCTATTAGGGGGGAGGGATTGGAACCCAAATTTCCCAACTTTGTATTAACTCAATAACCATACCCACTACATATACTTCTAACTCTTAGTTTAATAAACTTAAAATAATTGAAATACATTCATTTATTATTTAACTGAATTTTCGTTTTTAAATGTTTTTTTTTTTAAAATAAAAGATTACATTCCTTATTTTCTCCGGTTATCCCTCAACTATGTGCTGGAATATGGTCCCCTTCTATTGTTAATATATTGGTCTAATAGCCACCGAATACCTGTACATACAACGTTACCAAATTTAATCTAAGTTTATAGTATACGCTTGCATTTTTCCAGTTATCCCCGGTTATCATTTGGTTATCCATTGGTTATACCCTTTTATCATCGATTATTCCGAGTTATCTCCAGAATCCTAAGTTATCCCTAGCCATGTACACCAAGTATCCTCAGTCAAATCCCCCTCACTTTCACCAGACGTTAATTGTTAATATATTTGTCTAATAGCAACTAAATATCTATCCAACATTGCCAAATGTCTAAAATCTTTTGAATTTATATATACGCTTGCATTTTTCCAATTATCTCTTAGTTATCCCTGGTTATCATTTGGTTATCTCCGGTTATCCATTGGTTATTCCCGGTTATCCTTGGTTATCTCCAGAATCTCACGTTATTCTTAGTTATCCCTGGCCATGTAGGTACACCAAAAATCCTCAGCGAAATCCCCTTTGGCTTTTGAAAAATCTTCAGGAAAATTTTCCCCAGCGATTCAAAAACCGATAATAATCAGAAATTAAATGAACTATCTCTAGAAAAATGATCCATCGGCACCCGGTGATTATTCAAAATTTGACTCTCCTCGGTCCTCGGCTCTCAAACCTTCGGAAAACTTCTAGAGTCAGTAAAATTTCGAGAATAGTTCAAATATTGAGTATAGTTTTTCAAGAATCTTTACTACTAATTAGCAGTAGATTTAAGCGGGTTCTAACTTAAACTAAAACCGCACAAAGTGGCACTGCTGTTTTACCAACTACATCCAGCGCCATCTATTGTATCAGAACCCGGTGAACCCTACTACTAGCGCAATCAAAAGCCGGTAATAATTTAAAAAAAAAAGTGAACAATTAGGTATCATCTTGTTAATGTTTCATTAGTGATTGTTGGTTGTATTTTGAAATAATTTAAAATTCCTCTAGAAACGACTTTAAAGCAACATTTTTGGCTGATCGAACTCTAAATCCTTAGAAAACTTCTATAGGAGCTTCAAGAGCCGAAAATGAATCAAATTTTAATGATTATCGGCACTTGAATCACCGATACATTTTTCTAGAGGCAATCAAGAGTTGCTGATTCCAAATTTTGATTGTTATTGGTGACTTTGGAATCAATAGAAAACTTTTTTAAAAGCAGTCAAGACCAATTTTCATTAAGGTGAAAGCAAAGGGATTGAGGATAATTGGTGTACATGGCCAGGGAATCAAAAACTGTACATAGGATTGAATTCATACTAACATGGAAAGATTGAGGGGTTAGTCAGAAACAGGAAAATACCAGTGGCGTACACTCGATCGACCTACGAATGGAGAACCATACGAAAAAATATACAAAACTGTATGATTATTCAAAAACTGTAATAACTGTATTTACATAGGATTGAATTCATACTAACATGGAAAGGTTGAGGGTAGATGAAAGGTGTAAATACAAAAGTTGTACAGTATTGGCTAAATTTTTAGAATCCATGGTCAGAAATAAAAATTGAATGTCAGAAATGTGAAATGTTGCATGCTTTCAGTTTTTTTCAAATGGGATGCCATATATTTGGTTCTATGTTCTTGAAGAGTACAATTTCCCGATGCCAAAACTATATAGTTTGTCTATATTTGGTTAAGTCGGCTCTAACCTAACATATTTGGTACCTACCTCAAATTTTACCTGCAGCTTTCACTTGAACAGGTAGAATGAGAATGGTCCACAAAATCAGTAGTTATTGTTCGTCGATTTTAATTTGATACTCGGACGGAATGTGAGCTGGTGGCTCCCTACATTAGAACGCCAATGGTTACCTGACGTCACACCTGTTTCCGCCATATGAAACACCCCCTCGCTCCTCATACCGCAAGTGTCAGTTAAAAATCGACGAACAATAGTAGGATAGTATTTTTACAATTTTTAGAGCCGAATTTATGAGAGACTGTTCAAACAAATATAGACAAACTATATATTTTTGGAATCAGGGCATTGTGCTTTTCAGGAATATAGAATGAAATACAGGGCATTCCATTTAAAAAAAGCTGGAAGAATTTCACATTTCTGACATTCAAATTTTGTTTCTGCCCATGGTTTCTGAAAATTCAGCCAAAACTGTACAAGGTGTATTTACACCTTTCTTCTACCTGTAAAGGTAAAGGCTACTGTGGTTTAAGGAGGTAAAACTAATAATTGCGATTCATCGAAAAAAGGGGTTTTTGTGAAAATATGGACATTTCCACCCTAGTTTCGGGCACAAATAGTACTGGAAATTATGGGCAGATGGAGTTTTGTTTAATCTGGAAGATGTTCCCCTATCAAAATCGCTTCTCCCCAGTACTCCTTCGGTACTCCAAATTCCACCATTATTGCTCTAGCCCTTTCTACTAAACTGGTATCATTTCTCTCTGCCTGGCTATTCTGTTTAGGAATATACGCTACAGTGTAATCTAAAACATACCTATTTCTCGGCCGTTGATAATAACTTTGGTTTCAAAAACATTTTTTCTGAAAGCCCTTTCTTCTCATACCGATTTTTCAAAGCTGTCCACATCTGGCATGCATTATTTTTATCTCGAATTATATCTGGTTGAGCATCTTTCAAACACTGAACCACTATAGACTGGCATTATTGCTTGTCTTCTTTCTTATCTTTTTCTTTTTTTCTATCATCTTTGTATCTACCATCATTAAATTCATATTCAATCAATTTTGCCATTTCTTTTTCTTCTAGTAATACTTGCACTCTAAATTTCTGCTCACCTGCTACCTTCAACTTTTATTTGAGTTTTTATTCCCTGGGCCCTATGACCTTTTGTATTCTGCTCAAAGAAATTAAACTACTTAGTTTTCTCAAATCTATGGATTCTAGATTCTCAATTTCTAGACTGTAAAATCTTCACTCCTTATGGACAATACAATAAGTCTTCTAGGCCTCAGAATTCTGTCCAATTTGTAAATCAACAGAATTTTTATACCTACTTATTATTCCACAATCTCAAACAATGAGTGCACTTTGACATGATAGAAAGGTATTAATGTCATAAGTGCGAGTTTTGTTATTTATTTGTTCAAACAGAAAATGGAGAATGAAAAAGAATATTTTGGGGACGATTTAACAAAAGGAGATGAAGAGCTCGAAGACATAGTTGTAGGATTCTCTCCAAAACCTTCATTCGCTGTTGATGAAAAGTACATTGCATTGGTAATAATTTTATTATTATGCTGCACTGTCATCTTTCTATAATTATTTAGCGTGAAAAGGCCAAAGATGAAAAACAAATCCCTAAAGAAGAAAGCCTTGGAGCGGAAATTAAGCCTACAGATGAAATATTGCCGTATGAAAAGCCGCCATCGCAGGCTGAAGCTGAATTTTCCGAAGATACTTTTTTCGATGATAAGCCGATTGAAGTTGACGAGAAACAGAAAGTCGTGGAGAGCGTTAGTATATCGATCCAACTTTGCAAGGCAACAATTTTAAATCTCAAAAACATTTTCAGATTGGAGGAATGACGGAAATTGCTGAAGAAGATACAGAGGGATTTGATGAAGGTATAATGTAGATAATTATGTTTTTTTTTTTAACATTATTATTTTAAAAGGGAAAGAAATTGCTGAAGAAGCAACAGGAGAAGTTGAGGAAGGTATTGTAGAAAATCATTTTCTAATTTTTTTCAACATTATTATTTTTAAAGCCCAAATAAGTGAACAAGAAGGAGAAGGTGATTGGCGTCAAGGCTCTTCAATGAAGTAAGGCCTTTTATGTCGATACATTAAAAACCACAAAGTATATATTTTTAGAGACGCAAGTGCTTTATCAAGTGCAACAGCTGCAATAAGATTGAGCCTAAGTAATTGACTCTAATAATTATTATTTTTGGATTTTCAATGGATGAAATTTCAGCTATGGAATCAGAAGATTCAAGAAAACCGAGCATGGCAACAAGAAAATTCACCATAATGTATCCGGAACAAGCCAGAATCAATTATGAAACCGAACTCGACGATTTGATGTTGGGCTTTGAGGAGATCCAGGCACCCCAGCTGATGATGGATCAAGAAACTGCCGAAGAAGAACAGCAAGTTGAGGAAGAGCATGAAGAGGAAGAGCCAGCTCTAGACAGAACTCCGTACTACGAAGTACACAATAAAACCTTAGAGGAAATTACCGAAAAAAAGGTAAAAAGTTTCATTTACCAAAAGATGCTGGCCTTATACTTCAAACGCAAGAACGTTGATCAAGTTACAAGAGAATCCGATTGGTCATTGACTCAGCAGAATAAATACAATAGGAAACTGGAAACTTGGCAGGAATTTTTGGTATATGACGAACAAGAAAGAGGCAATGAGAATCGCGAGATACAAATCGATAGGCAAAAGAAGGAGGAAAAATTTAATAAATTGCAAAATATGTTCAAGCAGATGCAGACTAAGGAACGGGAAACCGGTGTTGGGTTGATTTATAAGAAAAGTGGAAATGTTATTGCGGATAAGGTGGGTTTTATAACACAATATATAGCTAAAATGGAGATCTACGTAATGTACAGGTTGTTTTTTTAAATATTGACACCCCCCACCTACCTTTACAGGTAGAAAAAAAGGTGTAAATACAAAAGTTGTACAGTTTTGGCTGAATTTTTAGAAACCATGGTCAGAAACAAAATTTGAATGTCAGAAATGTGATATTTTAAATGTTTCCATCTTTTTCTAAATGGGATGCCCTTTATCTCATTCTATATTCTTGAAGAGCACAATGCCCCGATTCCAAAAAGGTATAGTTTGTCTATATTTGATTGAGCAGTCTCTCATATATTCGGCTCTAAAAATTTCAAAAATACCATCCTACTACTGATTTTGTGAACCATTCATTCTACCTGTATAGGTGAAAGCTGCAGGTAAAATTTGAGGTAAGTACTTGCGGTTTCTCTGATGGTATTTTTAAAATTTTTAGAACCAAATATGTTGGAGACGGCTCAACCAAATGTAGACAAACTATATGGTTTTGGAATCAGGAAATTGTACTCTTCAAGAATATGAAACCAAATATAGGGCATACCATTCGAAAAAAGCTGGAAGCATGCAACATTTCACATTTTTGACATTCAATTTTTGTTTCTGAACATGGATTTTAAAAATTTAGCCAATACTGTACCACTTTTGTACCTATTTACACCTTTCACCTACCTGTAAAGGTGAAGGCTGTAAATGGGGTGTCAAAATATAAGAAAACACCCTGTAATAACTTATTATGTAAAGTCATAATTTGTAAGATTATCTACTTTTTGTCAATTTGCCTATTAACAGGAATTAGTAATGTCACTTATCAAACTAGTAACATAATGTGAGTTAATAAGTTATTCAAGTACAAACAAGTGGATTGTTGCGGAACTTATGGGTGGACCTCTGCGGGACGAGCGCAGCGAGTTCCGCAGCCATCTATTCATTAATACGTTGTTCAAGTACGATACTTATATTACTAACCTGACTCACTCAAATGTCAGTTATTCTCATTAGTTCAAAAACTACATGTTTCAGATGAGTGTCTTATTTGAATAGTTCAACAGTATATTGGTAAATAGATGGCTGCGGAACTCGCTGCGCTCCTTAACTTAAGTAAGTTATTCAAGTACAAACGAGTGAATTGTTGCGGAACTTATGGGTGGACCTCTGCGAGACGAGCGCAGCGAGTACAGTACAGTACAATACTAACCTGACTCACTCAAAGGTCAGTTATTCTCATTAGTTCAAAAACTACACGTGTCAGGTGAGTGTCTTATTTGAACAGTTCAACAGTATATTGGTGAGTAAATGGCTGCGGAACTCGCTGCGCTCGTCCCGCAGAGGTCCACCCATAAGTTTCGCAACAATCCACTTATCTGAACATACTTGAACAATAACTTATTATATAAAGTCAGAATTTGTAAGATTATCCACTTTTTGTCAATTTGCCTTTTATCAGGAATTAGTAATGTTAGTTTACCAAACTAGTAACATAATGTGACAAGTTATTCAAGTACAAACGAGTGGATTGTTGCGGAACTTCTGGGTGGACCTCTGCGGGACGAGCGTAGCGAGTTCCGCAGCCATCTATTGTTGTTCAAGTACAATATTAACTCAATTCTCTCAGTTGTGAGTTTTTCTCATTAGTTCAAAAACTACATTTAGATAAATGTCTTACTTGAATAGTTCAACAGTATATTGGTGAGTAGATAGCTGCGGAACTCGCTGCGCTCGTCCCGCAGAGGTCCACCCATAAGTTCCGCAACAATCTACTTATTTGTACAGGATGTTTTTTTATATATTACCACCCCACCTACCGCCTTTACCTTTACAGGTAGAAGAAAGGTGTAAATACAGAAGTTGTACAGTTTTGGATGAATTTTTAGAATCCATGGTCAGAAACAAAAATTGAATATCAGAAATGTGAAATTTTGCATGCTTCCAACTTTTTTCAAATAGGATGCCCTATATTTTATTCTATATTCTTGAAGAACACAATGCCCCGATTCCAAAAATATATAGTTTGTCTATATTTGATTGAGTAATCTTTCATATATTCGGCTCCAAAAATTGTAAAAATAATATTCTACTACTGATTTTGTGATCCATTCTACCTGTACAGGTGAATGCTACAGGTAAAGTTTGAGGTAGGTACCCATAATCTATCCACAATCCCAAGTCCAAAGGTAGGTAAAGGTAAATTTATCACCTTTCATTTGGCAGTTGAGACGGATTTTATTTTATCTATTTCCTGCATAAGTTAGTGACATTTTGATATGTCTTTGGGAGGTTACGCATGTGCAGAGCTGTCCTGTCAGTACTTTAGGTAAATTACTTGGAAATTATATTTCAATTACTTTTCAGTATTTGAAGTACTATAATTCAAATACTTTTGCTTTTGGATATTTGTACTTTTATTCTGGAAATATTTTAAATATTTGTACTTGAAACTTGAAGTACCAATTGAAAGTATTTAGTATTTGTATACTTACAACATGAATGAATTTCCCGTAATTGATATTTGGTATTTGAAATACGAAATACTATTTACCAGTATTTGTGACATATTTTGATGACACACTGAAAAATAGCAGAGCAGGACTGAATCATATTTTTATATTTTGAACGTAAAATACATCATTGACGAGGTTTTCAGTAGACATGGCCATGAAGTTCTTAGATTACCTCCATACCATTGTCAATCTAATCCTATTGAGATCGCATGGGGGTTTACTAAGAAAGTGATGCCAACTCGTGGGAAATTTCTCTTTTCGTGGGAATTTTTGGACGAAAATATTTGAAATGGGAACAAGGGAAAAATAAAAAACATGTTTTCAAGGGAAATTTTGTTAACTCAAGGGACTAAAGTTAAAAAGTATACGTTTTAATGAGAAATTTTGGGAATAAAACTAGAAAATAAACATTTTTCTGAAAATTGCCAGCCTCTCAAATTGCAGAACTGTCAATCACATAACCTGTCAATATTAATTACCTATTTAATTTATTTACTATTTATTCTGTCTGCATACTCTCCATGGTACCTACCTATGCATGGTACTTGAACTTAGCGTTCTGCTATAACATGGCTCCACATCCAGGCTGACAAGCTGTCACAGCCAATAGCTCTGCTCCAACCGACATAAGAGAAAACCGTTCTAGAACGGTAATTTCCAGTTGCCCATCTATTTTTCAATAAGTTGAACATTAGCTGCTTGCGAACATATGACCACTTTCTGACCTAACTTGAAGAAAAAATCTGAACAGTGCGAAAAAAAATGTATCTTTCTCCTTATGTTTTACATGTTATTAAAAAAAGATGGGAATATACTTAGTGCACACTGATCGATAAATGGAAATCGAAAACTTCAACATAGGTCAGAAAATGGTCAGTTCGTAAGCAGCTATTTATCCTAATTGACAAATGAACTGATCGACTGGAAATAAGCTTATGAGCTTTGTTCCAACACAGCAGGAAACCGTACTGATTCTGCGCAAAGCCTAAAATTCTGAAATTTGTGCGCAGAGTCCACAATTCGTATACAGAGTGGTTTCCAAACCGTTCATGGGACGGTTTTTGACGTGTTGGAACAGACTTGGTATAGTTTATACGAAGTCAATCCTTATAGCATAAAAACTGTGTAGGCGGTATCTCCTCAAGAAATTAAGCATATGCGTGTAACAGCCTGGGCATTCCAAAGAACGAAGAATTCTAATTCTAATTCCTAGGCTGTTGCACGCATATGCTTAATTTTATAAGAATATGCCGCCTACACGTTTTTATGCTATTCAGATTGACTTCGTATAAACTATAATCATAAATGATAGAATTTTGGGAAATTTCTGGGGAATTTTTATTGTGAATGACGGGAAAGTTTGGAAATTTTTACACATTCGAGTGGGAAATTTTATTCTAAAGGGTTGTAAGTTAATAGAAAAAAAAAATCTTGTCTGTTGATACTCCAGACATGTGACAAAATTCTGCTAGGCTTAGGCATTGTGAAACTTTGATCTACTAGGACTGGGAAAAATCAATGGGAAACACAAGCTTCAAAAACATTCCTCCTATCATCATTCGCTTCAATGAGTGTCAGATTTTGATTCCGAAAGCTTGAAAGATTCAGATTCTGATGAAGAAATTATGCAAGTTGAAGCTAGAATTTGACATTTTAAACCTTAGGCTCGAATAAGATCATCATCGTCATTCAGCCTCCAGTTGCGGCCACTGTTAGACACCTCAAGGTGTTTCCATTCTTCTTTATTTTTGTGATGTTGCAATCCGGCTGCGTTTGTCACTTCTAGACTGCCACTCGAGAATTCTTTTGGTCAATCTACCATCCGTCAATCGTGCGACATGTCCTGTCAATATCCATTTGAACTTTGAGATACACTCTCTAACATCGACTACTTTTGACCTTATACCATGTTATGTTATGTTCTGCTGAATAGACATGAAACCAAGCCAAAGACAACGAACTTACTGTAGACGACAAATACCCGCTGCCTACTATTTCCGATCTTCTGAATCAATTGGGAAAAGTAGACCCCAAGGATGTTTCGAAAACCACTTTTTCCGTAGAAAATGGCCATTACGAATTCATACTTATGCCATTTGGATTGAAAAATGCCCCGTCCACATTCCAAAGAGTCATGGACCATATTCTCCTCGGCATTCAAAACGAAAGATACAAGATTATTATTTCAATTCAACGGTATTAAAAGTACCTTATTCAAAGCATATATGCTTCTGTCCTGCTCTGCTATTTTTAGTTCGGACTTCGGATTGTGAATAGATTATACGTAAATATCACAGATGTGTTTACTGGATAGAAGTATAGAAACAAGAAATAATTATAATTCTCTAGTTGGTAGATCGTTTGATTCACCGTCAAAAAAACACAATGGAACAAATCAGGTCGATGCGCCTCCAATGCATAAAACTGAAACAAATCCTGCACGAAAAATACACAATAATGTCCGGTTTAGACGAAGTATCTCCCGGTTTCTTATTGGCCGATTACGAGCAATTAAAAGTAATCAATCAAAGTTACGCCGACAAAATCGAAGAGAATGACGAAGAATTGGTAAGGCAGAGAAAAAAATGCGCCAATACGATTCAAATTCTGGCTCATATAAGAGAAAAATCGACAGCTTTGGATGACGACGTGAATGATTTGCAAAACGAATTGGCGGATACCTACGATGAATTTGCTAAAGTCCGTGCAGAGTTGAACGATTATAAACAGAGACGCGATTCTTATCGTCATCGGATTATTAAAATTAAAAATGAGTCTGGGCTTTTGACTAAGCCAACTTTGTTGAAGGATATGCAAGAGGAAATGGATCATTTTGAGGTAGGCATGTGTAATTTAAACTATTTTCAAACCAAAATTTGAACTATTCTCGGCTCTTGAATTGCTTTCAAAGAAGTTTTCTATGAATTCAACAATTAAAATTTGAAATCAAGCGCTGATAATATTGAAAATTTCGATTATCAGTCAGGGGCGCCCGCAGAAAAATATTGAATAAATTTTTTATGCGTAAAAAAGGGCACTTCAGTGTAAATTATCATTTTAGGAGCAGAATCAGAATTTCAAATGCAACATTTGCAAAGCAAAATTTAAAAAAAAGGCAGTCTGAAGAGACACAAACTAACACACTTGGACGAGAAGAATTTTAAATGCAACATATGCAATGCAAAATTTAAAGAAAAATTTAAATTAGGAAAATTTAAACAAAAAGGAAATTTCAGAAGTCACATATCAACAGACTTCGATAGTTATCTTTTTGAATGTGACATTTGCGAAGCAAAATTCAGACTGTTTAAAGAGACACAAACTAACACAGTCTGATATTTATCCTTTTAAATGTGACACATGCAATGCAAAATTTGAACACAAACGTAGTTTGAGAAGCCACATATTAACACACTCGGATGAGGAGAATTTCAAATGTAACATTTGCAATGCAAAATTGAAAAGAGAAGGCGATTTGAAGGAACACATATTGATACACTTGGATATTTAATTTTTTTGAATGGGACATTTGCAAATCAAAATTTAAACAGAAACGCGATTTGAAGATACACAAACTAACACATTCGGGTATTTATCCATTTGAATGTGACACTTGCAAGGCAAAATTTGAAGAAAAGTAATTTACAAAGGCACATTTCAACACACTCGGATATTTATCCTTTTGAATGTGACACTTGCAAATCAAAATTTAAATGGAAAGCCGATTTAAAGATTCACAAACTAACACATTCGGATATTTATCCATTTGAATGTGACACTTGCAATGCAAAATTTAAGCAAAAACATAATTTGAAAAGCCACATTTTAACACACAGATTGTTTATTATTTGATTCACTTAAAAGTGACATGTGTTTAGCTCCGGGATCCTTGAACTCAGCCACAAAATTCACCAGTTCCGGAATAAGGAAAGGGTGACAATTTATCAATATGCAAATCGGTACACTGAGATATATATATATATATTAAATCAACTTATTTACTTCTTATAAATAGCTAAAATCTCGGGCATGGTAGAGGAAGATCCAAAACTTAGGCTTAAGCATTGAATATAAAAAAAAAAGATTCAGAAATCGGTATATCGTTACATAATTGTTTTGGAATGATGTTTTTGGAGAATCAAGAAGTTAGCGATTTATTTGTTTTTGAGTTGTTAGCTATTCAGCCGAATCACGAAGTTCTAGTTAAATTTTCAGATTATCTCATCGACACATGGTGCATGCCTCGATAGACCTGGATAAGACAACAAATGCCTGTGAATCTTTCCATAGTCATTTTGGTAGATCTTTTTATTTTGCGCATCAAAATACATATTTACACTTTTTTAGATTTATTAACTCATATGCAATGCAAAATCTGTCAACATCATAAGGTAAATTTTATGGGAAGTAGGTTGGGTTTCATGATTTGGTCGAATTCAAAGGTAGGATTACTGCAGCTACCTGGTTTGTGGCCGAATTCAAGTATGCCCGTTTCGCTCATACGAGCATCATCGGACCTACAATATAATATATATAGAAAATAATTAAAATTTAAGAAATTTCCAGGGGGGGTCGAGTGACCCCCCCTGACCCTCCCTGTGGGCGCCCTTGTTATCAGTTCAAAATCTGTGAAACTATCCAGATAATAAATGCTTTTGGCGTTCTTCTTTATACAAGTAAGATGAAGACAGGGTCTCTATCTATTTTCTGGTCGGCACACCAAAAACTGCCGGACAATCCGTGGACGCGTTTCGCTGTATTACAATTTGATACTTAGTTTTATAACAGTTCTTGGTTGCAGTTTTTGGTGTGCCGACCAGAAAATAGATGAAGACTCTGTCTTCATCTTACTTGTATCAAACCCAGTTCCGTGACTGAACCTAAAATGGGTTTTGTTTTCTCTCTGCCGGACCTAACCGTGCTGATGAGCTGTTGTAATACAGCGAAACGCGTCCACGGATGGTCCGGCAGAGAGAAAAAACTTCTCAATTGGGCCGTTACCTAATTCTTCTTTATACAAGATCTCTATTTGAATATGAAAAACCCCTAGATTTCTTACTTTTTGCAGGAACTAACACAACAACTAGAAATCTGCAAACAACAAAACATAGAGCTGGCGAAACGTCTCAGAATAATCCGAGTGAAAATCGAGCAAGCTAAAGAAATGAGAAAAATATCATCGAAAAGACTGATAAAAAAAGATACCAGCCTTGTTTCTGGGACCTCATCAGACACAGACACGAAACCAATGCTTTATAGAGGAAGGCCTTCGCTGATGATGCCCTTCATTGACCCAAGGGCTTTCGATTGCTTGAAATCCATCGCACCTCAACTCACTCACGATCGAAGACTACACAACATCAAGTGCAGTAAAACAAAATAATAGGGACAAATTATGTTATTTTTTAAGTTTTATTTTTTTAAAAAATAAATAGACTTTCAAGTCAATCAGTATAAAAAAATTGTTATTTAATAAGGTAATTCATCATTTTACCAATAGAATTTTATGGGGCACAATTCTTCACCCACTGCCCCCTTCATAGAGTGAAACTATACCTTAGGTGCCCCCTTATCTGAGATAACAAAAAAACATGGTGATTGCAGCAGTCAAAAATGCATCCCACTTTAGTAAATTAATAGACTAAAGTAAAGATAACGTCACACCCTGTAGAAGAATCAGTACACACTTCAATGGAGTATCATCACACTTCACTTTTAAAGATAACCCCAGGCCTTGATGACAACATTCATAGATCTTGAAAAGTACTTTGTAAAATTATCGTTCGGCTAGTAGGTAGTTGGCTACTAAAATAATTTTCAGGGACAACAACTTTTGGACCATTTAAACAAATTACCTATAAATAATAATCTTTAAACAATAAATAATAAAGTGGTATTGCCAAACAAAAATGCCCACTGGTTGGAGATTAACCGTTTCAAAATGTAAGTATGTTTATTTGAATTGCAACTTAGTTTTTTAAACTTTTTATTTAGGTTTTCTTATTCCACAAAGATACGTTTTGGGCCTCATGGGCTTCTTAGCCATCGTCAATGCTTATGCAATGCGAGTAACCCTTTCAATAGCCATTACTGAAATGATAAAACCCTCAAACACTTCCAGTGACACTAATTATGAAGATATTTGCAATGTGGGCACTAGTAATTCAACCAACAACAACGCAGTGACTGTGAGTAGTCTATTTATTTATTTATTTATTTACGGCAAGGCCAATTTGCAACATAGTTTTACAACATATCGGGTCTTCAAAAAAAAACCAATCTAAGATTGCTATGATTTTTTGAACGTATGTCTTAGCAATATTTTTCTGTAATTTTGTCAATGAACTTTAATGTCAAAATGTCATGTCAAAAATCCTGACCTATAAACAACCAATAATGCGACGTACGTTTTCGTAACCAAAGCAATCTTTGATTGTTTTTTTTTTTTGAACACCCGATACCTATACTATTTTCAAATCCGAGCGGCAGTAGATGACATGTGTACAAACATCAGGTCGTAATCCGGCCTTCCTATTGGTTAATATATGCATACTGGAACCAGTGCGCATGCGCGGAGAACTGAATTGGATTCAGTTGAAGCCTCTGGAAAAAAAATCTGCTTGTGGCATTGACTTTCGGTTCTTAATACAATTCAACCCTTACAGCAGGTAAAGCGCTGTCCTACGAACATAAGAAGTAGGAACACGCCATTCTGCTTATGAAACTAAAGTGAAGCCAAGTTTTTGGCACCAAAATACAGGCAAAGCATTGAATTGCCTATACCGCCATATTTTTGGTGCCAAAATACCTGAAAAAAAAACAGCTTCATTTTCAAACTCCATGTTACCAATCGCTATCAAAATAAGATGTGATAAGGACATTGTCTTAGTTCGGTCCTGCCTACCTGATCTGAAAATGACAGTTGTATTTAATGTTCAATTTTTGATTATTCTCGGCTCTTGATTCGAATCCTGAAGTGAGTGCAGAGTTGAAATTTTGAGGACTTTTTCCTAATGATTCAATGTAAGAAATACTAAAAACTCAAAGCGATTGAGTTAATATTAATGGAGTTACGATTTTTTGAAAATAATGATGTTTTGTAAAGTAATACTTTACAAACAATTTTTTCACTCAAAAACTGAAGTGAGTTCAGAGTTGAAATTTTGAGGACTTTTTCCTAATAATTCAATGTAAGAAATACTAAAAACTCAAAGCAATTGAGTTATTATTAATGGAGTTACGATTTTTTGAAAATAATGATGTTTTGTAAAGTAAGACTTTACAAACAATTTTTTTACTCAAAAACTGAAGTGAGTACAGAGTTGAAATTTTGAGGTCTTTTTCCTAATGATTCAATGTAAGAAATACTAAAAACTCAAAGCGATCGAGTTATTATTAATGGAGTTACGATTTTTTGAAAATAATGATGTTTTGTAAAGTAAGACTTTACAAACAATTTTTTCACTACAAAACTAAAGTGAGTGGAAAATTGAAATTTTGAGGACTTTTTCCTAATGGTTCAATGTAAAAAATTCTAAAAACTCAAAGCGATTGAGTTATTACTAATGGAGTTGCGATTTTTTGAAAATAATGATGTTTTGTAAAGTAATACTCTACAAACAATTTTTTCACTCAAAAACTGAAGTGAGTGCAGAATTGAAATTTTGAAGACTTTTTCCTAATGATTCAATGTAAAAAATACTAAAAACTCAAAGTGATTGAGTTACTATTATTGGAGTTACGATTTTTTGAAAATAATGATGTTTTGTAAAGTAATACTCTACAAACAATTTTTTCACTCAAAAACTGAAGTGAGTGCAGAATTGAAATTTTAAAGACTTTTTCCTAATGATTCAATGTAAAAAATACTAAAAACTCAAAGCGATTGAGTTACTATTATTGGAGTTACGATTTTTTGAAAATAATGATGTTTTGTAAAGTACCTAATACTCTACAAACAATTTTTTCACTCAAAGACTAAAGTGAGTGGAGAGTTGAAATTCTGAGGACTTTTTCCTAATGATTCAAGGTAGAAAGTACTAAAACCTCAAAGCGATTGAGTTATTATTAATGGAGTTACGATTTTTTGAAAATAATGATGTTTTGTAAAGTAATACTCTACAAACAATTTTTTCACTCAAAAACTAAAGTGAGTGCAGAGTTGAAATTTTGAGGACTTTTTTCTAATGATTCAATGTAAAAAATACTAAAAACTCAAAGCGATTGAGTTATTATTAATGGAGTTAAGATTTTTTGAAAATAGTGATGTTTTGTAAAGTAATACTCTACAAACAATTTTTTCACTCAAAAACTGAAGTGAGTGCAGAATTGAAATTTTAAAGACTTTTTCCTAATGATTCAATGTAAAAAATACTAAAAACTCAAAGTGATTGAGTTACTATTATTGGAGTTACGATTTTTTGAAAATAATGATGTTTTGTAAAGTAATACTATACAAGCAATTTTTTCACTCACTATTTTCAAATCCGAGTGGCAGTAGATGACATGTGTACAAAGACCAGTTAGTAATCCAGCCCACCGATTGGTTAATACGTATGTGAGGATCAGTGCGCATGCACGGAGAACAAGATTGGATTCAGTTGGAGCTTATGTGAAAAAAAATCTGCTTGTGGCAATTCATAACTTTTGGTTTTTAATACATTTCAACCGCTATCAGAATAAGACGAAATAATGGCATTATCTTAGTTCGGTCCTGCCTACCTGATCTGAAAATGACCATTTGTTTACGTTACTGCTGCTTGGATTTAAAGATAGTATAGTTTAGAATGGGAATCTTCAAAATCAAATCAGAATTGATTCGCTTTGCTTATCCAATGTTCAATTTTTGATTATAATCGGCTCTTGATTCGAATCAAGAGCCGGGAATAATAACTGAATTATTCAATTCTTCACAAAAGCAACTATGTATAATATTTTCAAATCAGAGCGGCAATAGATGACATGTGTACAAACACCAGTTAGTAATCCAGCCTTCTTATTGGTTAATACGCATACTAGAACCACTGTGCATGCACAAAGGATAGGATTGGATTCACTTGAAGCTTCTAAGAAAGAAAAAAAGAACAACTCAGAATTGTACCTCTTACCCCCCAAACAACCAAGCAGGCAAGTCCAAGTATACAGAATCAACTTGGAACCCCCTCTCTATGCTGTTCAAAATGAAATTCTGACATAAAAGCAAAGTTAATGTCGGCCTATCCATGATGCTGTTCCAGATTCAATAGTAACCTACAGTCCTAAGTAGCTAAGTAATGAGATAATCCAGCAACTTAGGAATCTCAGACTGCGCGCAAACCAAACAGCCCTGTAATTTGTGACCTCTCCTCTTGAACAATTGGTTGGTCAAACAGTTATTTTATTAAGCTTATTTCTAAGATTGTTGAAGTGCGACCAAAATAAATATTATTTTCAGTTTTGTGTTCTATAAGAGGATACCCTCACTTGCACTAGTCATTACCCAAGACAATTTAAATTTGTTATTCCAGAATCCAGATATCTTATACGATTGGGACGAAAGCACTCAAGGTATAATCCTCAGCGCCTTCTACTGGGGTTACCTAATCACTCACTTGCCTGGAGGTATTTTAGCTTCGAAATTCGGAGGCAAGTATACTTTGGGACTGGGTATTTTGTCCACTGGAATATTAACCGCTGCAACTCCATGGATAGTGATTATTTCAAAAGGCGATTGGAAATGGATAGTCGTTTTGAGGGTTGTTGAAGGACTTGGCGAGGGTACTACTTATCCTGCTTTGAATACCATGTTAGCTCAATGGGTTCCTTTAGGTGAAAGATCTAAAATTGGGTCTTTGGTTTATGCTGGAGGACAAATAGGTAATTCAAACAATAATTGTAACTTGCTGGTAGATATATTTTATTTATTTTTAGGCACTATTATTTGTAATTTGGTTAGTGGCCAGCTAATTAAAGCAACTGCTAATTGGGCTTCAGTATTTTATTTATTTGGGGGACTCGGTATAGTTTGGTTTATATTTTTCCAGTTACTTTGCTATTCGGATCCGAAACATCATCCATTTATAAGTGATAAAGAAAAGGAGTATTTGGAAAAAGAAATGAGTAGTGTTTCAGAAAAACCACCTCCAATTCCTTGGAAAGCACTAGCAACTTCAATTCCTCTATGGGGTTTAATAGCGGCTCAGATCGGACACGATTGGGGTTTTTACACGATGGTCTCAGATTTGCCCAAGTACATGAAGCAAGTGCTCAGATTTGACGTGTCTCAGAACGGCCTCTGGAATTCAATTCCTTACGCTGCCATGTGGATCGTTTCGATGAGTGGAGGCTGGATTTGCGATTGGTTGATTTTGAAGGAAATTTTAAATGTTACTGGAGCTAGGAGGTTTTTTACTTGCTTTGGTAATAATAATTGATTATATTATACAAAAACTATACAATTTTTGTAGCTGCTATTGGGCCAGCAATATTTATAATGGCAGCATCTTATGCTGAATGCGATACAACTTTGGCAGTCTGGATGTTTACTGTAGCCATGGGTTTTATGGGCACTTTTTACTGTGGCATGAAAGTAAATGCTTTGGATTTGAGTCCTAATTTTGCTGGAATTATCATGGCAATTACCAATGGAATTGGAGCGGGGGCTGGAATTATTACGCCTTATTTAACAGGGGCATTAACTGGAAATGTAAGTTTTTGCATTATTTGGGGTTCTAGTTTTGCATTTTTGAACTTTTGTAGAATACTGTCAGTGAATGGAGAATGGTTTTTTGGATTTCTTTCGGCATTTTTACTACTACTAGTGCAATCTACATGTTTTATGGTAGCGGCGAGGAACAATGGTGGAATAATCCAACTAGAATTGATAAAGACACTAAGATCATTAGTTTAGAGAGTGTAAAATATTCTGGTGATAATAAAAATTTAGAGAATTTGGATGATCCCAAAAGATGACAATAGTAAATTGTATTTGAGTTTTATTTTATATATACTTATTTCCCTATTCCCTGATTATATTTTTGACAAGAACGAATATTCAATAGCCAATTTCACTTGAAGTCAAATTGCAACAAAGGGTTTAATACTAGTCTCAATTTCCCACATGTAAAGTACTTCGCTGATTGGACTAATGACCGTTTACTTTTCGACTATGTTGTTTCTAGTTGATTGTTCATATATACTATTATAATGTCTTTCAGATGCCTAACTTATGAGTTCATCTTCAGGTTCAGGTTCCTCAAACAAAACTTCTGTTATTTGGTTGATATTTTGTTGATGCTGCTGTTTCTGTTTTCGTTTTTGTTTTTGAATTTTGTGTTTTTGTTTTATGCGTTTTTGGGATTTTTTCCGGAGGAAATAAAAAACGGGCTGTTTTTCATTACAAAATTTTTTGTTATATTTTTTATACGGGCGCCTGATGTAATCGTAAACATACCGCCCCCATTGGAATGTCTCTACATTTCAAAACTAGAGAAATAAACTAATTCCTAACTTAAGAAGTAACATTCTAGCAAAAACATCAAAAAAATCTTGAACTTAAAGAGATATGAAATATTAGGGCTAATGCAATGGTACAAACAAAATTATTCCAATTACCTAGCGCATGACAATAAACCTCTAAGAACTTTGATCACAAATAAAGGTTAAGTTCAAGTTAAAGCTTGCTAACTTATTTATGCCATAATACACACACACCATTCGTCATTCGTCACAATTTGGATGTTAAGGCTAATGCTCCTCCATGGGCAATGGACAGAGCTTGGTAATGGCTCGCTTGAACAAACCATTTTGTGCTCGTATGGTTACAACCCGCACCAGGTTATCTTCGCCGGAATGGAGTTCTACGACCCTGCCCAAGGGCCAATGCATAGGTGGTTCGTTCCCGGTTTTGAGAAGGACCATTGTACCCATTTTGACGTTTTGCTGTGGGGTACAGCATTTCGAGCGTTGCTGCAAGGAGTGCAAGTAATCCGCGCTCCATACACACCAAAGTTGCTGCAGCTGCTTGAAATACTTCAATCGATTGATGCTCACATCAATCGCCTCATCTTGTGGACAGCTTACTAAGCTTCTCCCAATGAGAAAATGACCAGCTGTTAGAACTTGCCAGTCTGTAGGGTCGTCGGTTAAAGGGGTAGGAGGTCGCGAGTTCAGGATTGCCTCTACCTGCGTAAGTACGGTGTAAAAACTTTCATAATGAAGCGAAGCACCACCCATAACACGCTTTAAATGGTACTTAAAAGACTTCACAGCAGCCTCCCATAGACCGCCACAGTGGGGAGAGCGAGGAGGAATAGAGTGCCATTGAACTTTATTTTCGCTAAAATATTTTTTATATTTTGAGGAGCAATCTCGAACTGTAGAGCATAAACGGTTGAGCTCGTTACTCGAACCTTGGAAATTAGTAGCGTTATCGCTATAAATGTGACTGCATAACCCGCGCCTAGAGACAAATCTCTTAAATCCATTCAAAAAAGCCTCACCAGTCAAATCGGTCACAAGCTCAACATGAACAGCGCGAGTGGCAAAACATATGAAGATACTCAGGTAACATTTTAGCACAACACGGCTACGTGTTTTGCCATCTTTTAACGCGTACGGCCCTGCGAAATCTACACCGCACACACTGAAGGGACTTGAGGGAGTGACTCTGGAGGAAGGTAGTGATCCCATAAGTTGATTAATATTTTTAGGTTGGATGCGAAAACAAGTTATACATTTGCGCAGGATATTCCAAACTTCATTTCTGCCATTAATAATCCAAAATTTGCGTCTGATTTGAGTAAGGGTGAACTGAGTCCCACCATGCAAGAACTTTAGATGGTAAGATCTGATCAATAGTTGGGTAAATGGATGCTTAGGAGGCAGGATGATAGGGTATTTTTGATCGAAATCGAGGTTAGAATACTTTAATCGCCCATTTATTCTTAGCAACTCATTTGAGTCTATGATGGGATTAAGGCGAAAAAGTTTGCTGGTTTTAGGAACAGTATTACCAGCGCGCAAAAGCTGTAAGTCCCTAAGAAATATGTCCCTTTGGACAATAGCGTACAATCGCAGCTCAGCCGTTTGCCATTCGTCAATAGTCAAGTCTTTTGAACATTCCAAATCAGCATTTGATCTTTTTGCTTGGAGATTCTTATAAAACCTGAGCAGATAAGCTGTTGTTCTGATTAACTTATTGTAACTAGAATAAAGATCGAAAATAAAAGCTTGATTTTGCTGAATTTCATTATATGTTAGTGAAATGTTTTCCTTTCGAGCCTCTGGGATAGAGTCTATACCGGTGATAATAGTTTTAGGCCAGTTTCCAGAGGATTGACAGAGATACGAAGGGCCATGCCACCAAAGTGTGGAATTTTGTAATAATTGAGGGTTAGAACCGCGACTCAAAATGTCGGCGGGGTTCTGATCAGTTGGTACATGTCTCCATTGAGTGCTTTCAGTTAAATGCTGAATTTCAGCTACACGATTGCTAACAAAAACTTTCCAATTACTCGGTTCTTTATCCAACCAAGCCAGAACAATAGAAGAGTCTGTCCAATAGGTTGTTTGCTCGATTGAAATCCTTAGACTGGATTTGAGTCGATGCATGAGTTGAGCTAATAGATACGCGCCAGACAGCTCTAACTTGGGTATAGTTAAGTTGGAATTTAGAGGTGCAAGCCGACTCTTAGCACAAATAAGATTGGAACAAATTTGACCTTTACCATCTAGATGAGTCAGATAGATTGAGGCGCCATAGGTCGTTTGAGAGCTATCACAAAATCCGTGTAACTGAATATTCTTTGACATAGAAGAAAATAAGACACATCTGGGAATTCTAATAGAATTTATCGATGCTATTTGTTCAACGAATTCCAACCAGCAGGCTGAAATATGCTCGGGCAAATCATCGTCCCAATCCACCTCGATTTGCCAGATTGCTTGTAGGATTAATTTCGCTCTCACAATAATAGGGTTTATCAATCCGAGAGAATCAAATAGCTGTGCCACGCCCGCTAACACGGTTCTCTTAGTGACCCTGGCCTGTCCAAAATAAGTAGGAAAAGCGTAACTAAGAATATCATCCTTCGGATTTCAAAATATACCTAAGGTTTTGATCTCCTTTTCACTTTTGATTTGAAATGGCGTTTCGCTACCTATATCGGCCAAAAACTTAACGTCATTGGACATCCACTTTCGCAGATTTTATCCCGATTTTTGCAAAACATGAGATATTTCATTTTTCAATTGCTGAGCCAATTGATGATTGTCACAACCAGTGATTAAATCGTCCATGTAGAAGTCATTGATGATGATATCAGAAATATAGGGATTTTCAGATCGACATCCTAACCCAATCTCGTTCAAAACCCTGGTCGACAAGAATGAGCTAGGAGTAAGACCATAAACAACGGTATTCAATTCGAAATGCTTTATGCTTTGTGAGGGATGTTCCCGCCATAAAATACGTTGAAAAGATCGATCATCTTCATGTACCAAGATCGTACGGTACATCTTCTCAACATCTGCTGTCAAAACGACAGGATAAGTTCGCATAAGCAGCACTATATCGAATAAATCATTTTGAACCTTGGGACCGGTTTTTAAAACTTGGTTTAAAGTAAGTCCTGAGCTGCTTGAACTACTGCCATTAAATACCACTCTGAGCTTAGTGGTTTCACTAGATTCTTTGAATATTGGATGATGAGGAAGATAATTACAAATTTTATCAGGTCTTTCTGAGGATCAATTTGAGACATATGTCCCAGATCTTCATACTCTTTTAAGAAGTCACAATATTGTTTTCGAAGCTGAGGATTTTTTGAAAGTCGTTTTTCTGTTGAAACAAGACAACTTCGTGCAATTTGGTAGGTATCACCTAAATTTTGAAAATTATCTTTAAACGGTAATCTTACTATGTATCGTCCGGTATGATCTCGTGTGACATTTTTTCTAAAATGAATTTCATTCTCAGTGGTTAACTTACTTTGATCAGATTGTACATTCTCTATGGCCCAAAATTTCTGGACAGAATCATGCAAGCTATTAATGGAAAGATGACATAAAGAACTTACCCGAGGAGAAGAGGTTTGATTTGAATGTGCTGAATGCAAAGGACCAGCTAAAAACCATCCTAGCTTTGAGTTTTGAATGACAGGTTGATTGGCCCCTAACTTAATTTGTTGAGGTTCCAGCAAATCATAAAATAAATTGGTACCTATTAAAATGTCGATATTTTGGCATTCAAAAAAATGAGGATCAGCTAATTGTATATTTGGGGGAATTTTTAAAGAATTGGGATTAAATGAAAGCTGAGGCAATTTTGCAGTGACTTTATCCAGGACCAAGAAATGTATGCTTGTCGTGTATGAATGATTCATTGAACGCAGTTTTGTAGTAAACGACCTATCAATTCTAATTGGTGCCTGGTTAATGCCATTAACACTCATATCTATGTGTTGCCCTTTGATTTTCAATTTATTATAGAATTCTGTGGTACAAAGATTGTCCATACTACCCGAATCTAACATGGCTCTGCATTTCACCAAGTTCCTATCTTGATCCAGGATCTCCACAACTGCTGTTGCCAAAAGTGGCTGGCATAGAGCCTGATTGCCATGTATTTCGCAAAATGCATTTTGACTGTTTTGGGGTATGATGTCACCCACCTGTTCGGATTCTTCTTCTATGTTATTGTATTGTGTTTCTTCAGTTTCTTGTTGTGTAGCAATATATGTGTTTCTAGATTTAGGTGAATTTTGGGGGTTGTAATTTATGTTTTCATGCAAAATACTATTGTGTTTTTTTGAACACATTCTACAGCCCCTACTGGGACAAGAATCAAGGCAATGCTGCACGAAGGCAGTTTACACAGATACCAAGTTTCTCAAGCTCAATGTAACGATTTTGTATTGACAATGCTAGTAAGCGAAAGCATTTGTATGTTGAATGATTATTCAACCTACAAAAGCTGCATGAGAACTCAATATCCTCCTGCCCTGCTGGTTCCTCTATGGCAACATGGCTATACCTTTTTGGAGATAACTGCTCGGGTTTTTTTGTGGAAAAACCTTTTGATTTTGAAGCAGATTCTGGGCGTTTAGAATTTAATTTAGTTTGAATTGTCTCTAGAACCTGTATTTTGTTTTTCAGGAAATCTACAAAACTTAAATAAGTGGCGTTGTCTTGTTTGTTGAATACTTCCCATTCTCGACGGGTTGTAATGTCCAACTTGCTTGTGAGAAGATATAATAAAATTGTGTCCCAGTGCTGAACTGGCTCATTTAAATGTTGCAAAGCCCTGTAATTTTGTACTATGTGATCAAGAAATTTTCTTAGAAAAATGCACGACTCGCCTTGTAAGGCAGGATAGTCGGAAAGATTCTGTAAATGTTCGTGTTTAAGCAATTTTTGATTCTCATACCGCTCTTTAAGTAAATCTATAGCGATATCATAATTATCCTCAGTGATATTTAGAGACTGTAGAATTTCTGCAACTTCCCCTTTGATGCACAACTTTAACTGATAAAATTTCTGGATTTTTGGGACTGAGGGGTCATCATGAACAATTGATTTAAAAATTTGGAAAAAGGTTTCCCATTGTTCGTGATTACCAAAAAATGATGATGGGGTAATTTTGAAAACATTATGATTGGGTGGCTGTTGTATGATTGGTTGTATAATTGGAGGTGGAATTGCTGGTGGAGCTGCTTGAAGACTTTGCAGGGTTTTTCTCTTTTCAAACTCATGATTTTCAATAATATCAAGTGCTTGACCACTAAGTGAATAATACATCTCTTCATATGTGTCCCCCTCGTCATGTTGCTCTGACAAACTGACTAGTTGAGCTTGAGTTGACTCAAACTGGCTAAATGCTGATTCTAATTTTTCTAACCGTAATTTTAGTTCGGAAAGTGACACATTTTCCCTTTGTGGTTGTACTCAAATATGAACGGAATTTATTTAATGTGGATTTGAAACCACCCCGTTTCTCCACCAACTGCAGAATAAGGGTTTCCCCTTCTGTGTTGTCTTCGTCAGCAAACATTTTTGCGTGTTATGTGCTTTTTATGAAAATTTTGCTCAATTTGTGAAGTTTCTACATCGACCCACTCAAAAATGAGGAAAAAACAATGAGAAAAATGGAACCGACTGACCTGTATGCGTAATACTGCTTCTTGCTGGGACTGAATCCAATTTTTGCTGGTTATAAGGTTATCCGGTTCGATGTGGCCAAAATGTTATTTGGTTGATATTTTGTTGATGCTGCTGTTTCTGTTTTCGTTTTTGTTTTTGAATTATGCGTTTTTGGGATTTTTTCCGGAGGAAATAAAAAACGTGCTGTTTTTCATTACAACATTTAATCGACGGGTGTCCGATGCACAGTCGCTCAGGAACTACGGGCGCCTGATGTAATCGTAAACAACTCCTTTCTGGAATTATCAAATAACGACACGTTTTTCTTTACTGACTGACTTAAAAGTCCATATACTTAAAAAATAAAATAAAACTTATATAAAAATAATATTATTTGTCACTATTTTGTCTTGCTGCACTTGATATTGTGCAATCTTCTATCGTAAGTCAATTGGGGTTTGATGGACTTCAAGCAATCGAAAGCTCTAGAGTCGATAAATGGCATCAACAGCGAAGGTCTTCCTCTATAAAGCATCGGTTTCGTGTCTGAGGCCCCAGGAATAGAGCTCTCTTTTTTTATCAGTCTTTTCGATGATACCTTTTTCATCTCTTTAACTTGCTCGATTTTCAATCGGATTGTTTTGATACGTTTCACCAGCTTGACGTTGGTTTGTTTGCAGGTTTGTAATTTTTGTGTTAGTAGCTGCAAAAAGTATCTACTTTAATAAAATCCATATATTTAAGTTTAAATATTTTGAAATAAAGAGGAATGCCAAAAGCTGGAAATTAGTTCATTGATTAGCTGGATAGTGTTTCTAGACAATTATCATGATTTGAACTGATAATCAAAATTTCCATTATTCATGGAAAACTTCCTTGAAAGCAATTCAAGAGCCGAGAACAGGGCCGTAGCCAGGGGGGGGGCATTGGGGGGCAATGCCCTATCTTTCAAATGATGATGCCCTACCTTTAAAACACAACATGCGTTGAGGTTTATCTAGAAAATTTAAGAGAAGATGAAAGCACTGTTTCAACCGACATGAGAACCGTTCTAGAACGGTAATTTCCAGTCGATTAATTCATTTGCCAAGGAGGATAAACGTTCAACTTATTGAAAATTAGGTGGGCAATTGGAAATTACTAGTTCTGGAGCGGTTCCTATGTCCATTGGACCACAGCTAATGAATGGACTTGAAATCGCATGAGTTGGTAGGCATACAGTCATTTTACAAGTATTACAAGTTCAAGAGGTCCCTCAAAAATTATTGCCTGAATGCGCCATTTTGTTTATTCGCCAGAAATGTTATTTGACGTTGTTTATCGAAAAATTTGCTTTCGGCGCCATTACCCCCATTCTGTTTACCTATAAAAAATTTAAGGGGCGGGGGGAAGTAGTGCATGCCCTATGTCAAATTTTTCATGCCCTACCACAAATTTGAGTCTAGCTACGGCCCTGGCCAAGAATAGTTCAAATTTTGATTTGAAAATAGTTTAAATTACACTCAAAGAATGTACCTACCTCAACATTATCCAATTCCTCTTTCATATCCCTCAACAAAGTTGGCTTAGTCAAAAGCCCAGACTCATTTCTAATTTTTGCAATACGATGACGACAAGCATCGCGTCTCTGTTTGTAATCGTTCAACTGGAAACGGATTCCAGCAAATTTATCTTCGGTATCCGTCAATTCTTGGTGCAAATCATTCACGTCGTCATCCAAAGCTGTCGATTTTTCTCTTATGTGAGCCAAAATTTGAATGGTATTGGCGCATTTGTTTCTCTGCCTAAGCAATTCTTCGTCATTCTCTTCGATTTTGTCGGCGTAAGTTTGATTGATTACTTTCAATTGCTCGTAATTGGCCAACAAGAAACCGGGAGATACTTCGTTTAAACTGGTCAAGATTGTTTGTTTTTCGTGCAGGATATTTTTGAGTTTTATGCACCGGAGGCGCATCGAGCTGACTTCTTTCATTGTGTTTTGTTGACGATGAATCAAACGATCTACCAACTAGAGAATTATAATTATTTTTTGTTTCTATACTTCTACCCAGTAAACACATCTGTGATATTTGTTTTTTTTTTTTAATTTTTTTTATTTCCAAGTAAATCACAGGATATAACAAAACAATATATAAACTTAGGGGTTGTTTAAGGCCTAGAGCGCGAGGCTATATGGCTCATTCAATATAATATGTTAAATCTACGTGAGGCTAAATGTATCCATGTTGACTTTGTTTTGAAACAAATTTAAGGTAGGAGAAAGAGAAAAAAAGATAAAGAAAAGAAAAAGAACAGTAAGTGCATCTCAATAGTGCGTACAAAAAAGTAACAATAAATGTATCAGGAAATTTTTCCTTGTTGTCATACTATTTATGCAGAGAAAAAGTTGCTGTAGATTAGTTCTTTGAGTCTCTGTTGAAAGGGCGTTATTCTGCGACATTCTTTCACATTTTGTGGGATCTTGTTGTATATGTTCAAGCCTTTTGACATCATGCTGCGTTGTCCACTAGTGGTTCTTGTAGCTTCTTTCCTCAATGTTTGGTTGTTACGGGTGTTGTATTGGTGGATTTGGTTAACAATGGTGAGAGTGATATTGGAATGAATGTTGCATGTTTGAAATATATAAAGTGAATTAATGTCCATGATTTTATTTGGATTGTATAGTTCTGCAGTCGGAAACAATGTAGGCAATTGAAAAAGTTTCTTGAGGGCTCTGTTCTGGAGAACTTTTAGGGGTTTCAGGTGGTTGGCAGTTGCATTTCCCCAGACAAGCGTTAGGTATGAGAGATGGCAGTGGATAAGATAATGATAGACCATTTTGCGATGTGGAGGACACAGGAACCTTGACACCCTACCCAGGATTCCTACCGCTGGGGAAATTTTTTGACATATTTTTGAAATGTGAAATTCCCAAGTGAGTTTATGATCAATGAGCAAGCCAAGCACTTTTATACATTCTTCTTTTTTGAACTTGTATTCACCCAGATCTAGTACTATATTTCGCCAGTTGATGTTGTTTGATATAGTCATGTAGCTGCATTTGTTGATGTTCAGTGAAAGCTTGTGGTAGCAAAGCCAGTTGTGGATTTTTGTTAGGTCTTCTTTTATATTCGTTTGTAGGGCTGTGTGATTATTTCCAGAGTACAGAAGACATGTATTGACAGCATATAGGCATAGCTTGGAGCTTAGGTCAACGAAATTGCCGTGAGCGCCAATACGCGGATCATCACCATACTAAGCGCATCAGTTTATCTAGTTGCCTAAAAACTTATTTACAGGGACACCTATTTGAGTTTCCCATATATATTTATAAGTGGTATGTGAAACTGACTCGCCACACCCAATGGGCAACAACATAGTGGATGTGTTGAGAAACAGGGGGGATTAGGTAGACAGTGGCTAACAATGGCGTTGACCGGTACTGCTAAACATTTTTAATGACAAGTGGTTGTCTTGAAATCACTGTCGTCTAAAAGTTATAAGTCTATTGCAGTTTTCATAAAAGTTCATTTGTTCGACTGACGATGGCTAGCTTATCAATTTACCAGTAATAAGGTTCGATGCAAAATTTCATGCGCTTCAACTTTTAATACTGCGACATTTTTCGTTCGATGCGTCGTTTGCAAGATATGACCAGAAAACCGGAAAAAGTCCGAAAATGTCGAGGTTTTTGGAATTTTTCGACCTGAGCCGGTACTGCAACAAGACAGCAAACTTCAGATTCATATTCAGCACCCCAAAAAACATATAAGTCCGTTGAGAAACCTTTTACCGGACTCAGGCACTTTTGAACACCATTTGATCCTTATGGTTTACATTAATGTTAAACAAATTTTATAACTTTTGCTGTGTTTACTGAGTATTATAACCTACCTTAACTGCAATAACATTTCCACTTTTCGTATGAATCAACCCATCACCAATTTCACGTTCCCTAGTTTGCATGTGCTTGAACAAATTTTGCAATTCATTATATTTTTCCTCTCTCTTTTGCCTACTGATTTGTAACTCTCGTTTCTCGTTGCTTCTCTCTCGTTCGTCATAAACCAAAAACTCCTTCCAAGTTTCCAGTTTCCAATTGTACTTCATCTGCTGATTCAACGACCAATCGGATTCTCTTGTGGTTTGATCAATTTGCTTGCGTTTGAAGTAAATGGCCAGCTTCTTTTGTAAAATAAAGCTTCTTATTTTTATTTCGGTAATTTCCTCTAAGGCTTTAGCGTGTCTTTCGTAATACGGAGCCCTATCTAGAACTGGCTCTTGCTCCTCGTGTTCTTCCTCAATGTGCTCTTCTTCTTCGACAATTTCATCCAGCTTCAGCTCTGGTGCCCTGATTTCGTCAAAGCCCATCATCAAATCATCGACTTCGGCTTCCCATTTGATTCTTGCTTTTTCCGGATAGTTTATGGTGAATCTTCTTGATGTTGCGGTGCTTGGTTTTCTTGAACTCTCTGATTCCATACCTGAAATTCATCCATTGAAAATCTAAAAATAATATTTATTAGAGGCAATTACTCATGCTTATTCTCATTGAAGCTCTTGCGCTTAATAAAGGACCTACGTCTCTAAAAAAAAAACTTTGTAGTTTTCAATGTATCGACATAAAAGGGCTTACCTCATTGAAGTTCTTGGACGCCAATAGCCTTCTCTTTCTTGGATTTTTAAAATAATTACAATGTTAAAAAATAGAAAACAAACTTTAATTACCTACCTTGCTCAACTTCCCCTGTTGCTTCTTCAGCAATTTCCTTCCCTTCTAAAATAATACCAATATTAAAAAAAATTAAAAACATAATTTTCTACATTATACCATCCTCAAATTCCACTCTTGATTCTCTAGCAATTTCTGTCGCTTCTAAAATCAATAACAATTATTAAAAAAAATAAATCAAAATACATAATTTTCTATACATTACCTTCCTCAATTATTTCCTCTGTTGCTTCTTCAGCAGTTTCCGTCATTCCTTCAATCTGAAAATGGTTTTGAGATTTATTATTACCCTGCAAAGTTTGATCGATATACTTACGCTCTCAACAACTTTCTGTTTCTCGTCAACTTCAATCGGCTTATCATCGAAAAAAGTATGGGAAATTTCAGCTTCATCCTGCAATGGCGGCTTTTCGTACGGCACTATTTCTTCTTCTAAATTTGTAGGTTCAATTTCCGCAATTAGTAGTTCTTCTTCGTGGATTTCTGGTTCAGGGATTTGTTCTTCATCGTTGGATGTTTCACGCTAAATGATCAATGCAGCATAAAAATATAATTATTATTGGTCTTACCAATGCAATGTACTCTGCATCTTTAGCGAATGAAGGTTTTGGAGAGAATTCTATGACTATGTCTTCGAGTTCAACATCTCCTTTTGTTAAATCGTCTCCAAAATATTCTTTTTCATTTTCCATTTTTCTTATATGGATTTAGGTGACAATTAAAATTAGCACTTTTGACATTAAAATAATTGATATTTTCATTAATTAATAATTAACACCTTTATATGGTGTCAAAGTACCTATATGTATGGTCTGTTCAACATTGAACAAGAATAAAAATCCATCTTTGAGACCGTGGAATCAGTAATTCAAAGACTCTGTTGATTTTGTAGATTCTGAGGCCTAGAAGATTTCACAGTCTAGAGACTCCTGTAAAGATGCTACCTACTTTAAAAACTTTGAAGTTTCTACACTCCTTTGTAGTGAAGACTTCAATGACTCAAATTTGTAGAGAGAAAAATCTGGAATCTGTAGATGTAAGCACTCAGTGTGAGAAATCTGAAGCCTTTAGATTTATAGGAATCCTAAAGATTTTCAAGATTTTGAGGCCTGACACACATATATTTGAGATTATAATGTGAAGACCTAAAAAAGATTGTGAGAATTACCAAAACACATCATTGGAAACTTCAAGGAATTATTTTCTGATGTTGTAGAATGATAAATGACTCAAATTTGTAGAGAGAAAAATCTGGAATCTGTAGATGTAAGCACTCAGTGTGAGGAATCTGAAGCTTCTTGATTTATAGGAGTCCTAAAGATTTTCAAGAATTTGAAGATTCTGAGGTCTGATACACATTTATTTAAGATTATTATGTGAAGACCTAAAAAAGCTTGTGAGAATTACCAAAACACATCATTGGAGATTTCAAAAATGCTCCAAGGATTTATTTTCTGATGTTATAAAATGATAAATCCAGACACTCTGTCATTGCAGACTTGTTTCTAGAGATTTATAGAATCTTGATTGAATTAATGGAATTAGTCTTTACAAGCAATTCAAGAGCCGAGAATAGTTCAAATTTTGATTATTATCGGCTCTTGGTCTACTGGGTAATTTTTCTAGAGGCAATCGTGACAAATATTTGTAGTCCAAATGTAGTAGATCGATTTCCAAGAAGTAATCATTAAGATTTGAACTTGGGTACTGATTAAAGATTCAATTATTATCGTCGCTTGATTCCTTCTAGAAAAAATTATCCAGGTGACTTATTTTTGGAGAAAGAGTCTGAAGAATCAAGATTTTACATAGTCCAAAGAGTCAGAAGATTGTGAGATGCGACTTTAAAGCATCTAGACTCTGACGATTGCTAAGATGCGACCCTGAATCTCATTTTTTGAATTTGTAGAAGAAAAAATCTAGAATCTGTGTATGTGTATCAGTATTAGTAGCGGTTTGTATAAAAGATCGCACCGAAATTTTGGAAAATGTGCGGTTAAGCCCTAATTTCTCTGACCAGATCGGCTCGAAATAACAAGATATGTATTCTGCATGGCCCTCAAATTGCCTACAACTATGTATCATTGGAAAGAGCAATAAATTCTCTATGAGCCTGTGTGAAATTGGTTTCAATAGCTTGTGGAGTTTTGAAGATATTGATCCTCAAAGTTGGAATATAGTCGATATTTTGCTCAAAATTCGATTTTCTCAAAACCATAAATGTAGCGATTTCAGCTAAACACCACCTGAAAGCCCATCTCAAGAGCTATAATCTCTGGAAATGTTGTCCCAGTACTGCTCTTGGTTACCAAGATATTGACGTTTGAAGATTTGCAAATTGAAATCCAAAGGGGTTACCTTTAGGAAAAAGTGCGAAAAATTGAAAATTTTTATTTTTGGATTTTTTACAATTCTGACTTCAGAAATAGATAGAACGAGTCCAAATTAGTCAGAAACAACTCTAACATCATTTACATTTGAAAATTTGGACGAGGAAAAAAAATCTAAAATGAAATATTACTTTTGTGAGATGTGAGACACTCATGAATAATTGCTCAGATCTTCGATGAAATTTGAGGAAATTTCCTACAATTATAGATGAATGAAAAGAGAATTGAATTCTCTATAAGCTCGTGTAAGATTGGTTTTAATAGCTTGCAGAGTCTCAGAGATATTGAGCCTCAAAGTTGAAATTTAGTCGATATTTTGTCCAAAACTTTACATTCGATTTTTTCAAAAACTATAAACGCTAGCGATTTCAACTGAACATCATCTGAAAGCCCTTGCTAAGAGCTACAATCTTTGAAAATTTTATCCCAGTACCACTTTTCGTTACCAGGATATCGAGATTTGAAGATTTGCAAATTGAAATCCAAAGGGTTACCCTTGGGAAAAAGTGCAAAAAATTTAAAAATTTTATTTTTTGATTTTTCGCAATGCTGACTTCAAAAATCGATAGATTGAGTCCAAATTAGTCAGAAACAACTCTAAAATCATTTTGACTTGAATTTGTAGAAAGAAAAATCTGGAATCTGTAGATGTAAGCACTCAGTGTGAGAAATCTAAAGCCTCTTGATTTATAGGAATCCTAAGGATTTTCAAGACTTTGGAGATTTTGCGACTTCACACACATATATTTGAAATTCTAAAGTGAAGGCCTAGAAAAGATTGTGAGGATTACCAAAACACATCATTGAAGACTTCACAAGGATTTATTTTCTGATGTTGTAGAATGATAAATCCAGACACTCTGTCTTTGCAGACTTATTACTAGAAATTGTAGAATCTTGAAATCGTGGAATTAGTCTCTGAAAGCAATTCAAGAGCCGAGAATAAATCAAATTTTGATTATTATCGGCTCTTGGTCTATTGGCTAATTTTTCTAAAGGCAATCATGACATATTTATAGTCCAAATGTTGTAGATCGATTTTTCAAGAAGTAATCGTTAAGATTTGGACTACCTACTGATCAAAGAAATTGTCCAGAAGACTTATTTTTGGAGATTGTATAGCCAAGAGTCCGAAGAATCAAGATTTTACATAGTCCAAAGAGTCAGAAGATTGTGAGATGTGACTCTGAAGTGACTTTAAAGCTTCTGTGACTCTGAGGAATGCCAAAACGCGACCCTGCAAAGCTAATTTTTTGAATTTGCGGAAGGAAAAATCTAAAATCTATAAATTTAAGAACTCAGAAAGCTCAACTTCGATGACTTATTTCTGAGAATTGTAGACTATAAGGACCTAAAAAAATGTATTAAAACTCTGAGGTTTGTAAAGATGCCACATTGAATAGTTTTGAGAGGAGAATCAATTGCATCATCTGTCAATTTATAGGAATTCAGAGTATTTTGAAGATTCTGAAGACACTAAAGACTCATTTGTAGAGTGAAGACGTTAAAGATTCTGATGATTGCCAAGACGCAACCCTGAAAACTTCAAAAAGGATCTTATTTTTGAATTTCTAGAATGAAAAATTTAGAATTCGTAAATTCAAAAAATCAGCTTTGATGACATATCTTGAAATTGTAGACCCCACCAGGGACTTCAAAAAACGTAAAATGAAGAGTTTTAAGAGGAGCATGAGGAATCTAAATGTCTCTGTATTGATTTATAGAAATTCAGACCGCTGAGGATTTTGAAGACTTTGAAGTTTCTTAAGACACAAAAGACTCATTTGTAGAGTGAAGACTTCAAAGATTTTGATGATTGCCAATACGCAACCCTAAAGACTTCAAAAATAAACATAGTTTTAAATTTGTAGAATGAAAAATCTAGAATTTGTAGATTTGAGAAGTCAGTCTCTGACTGGTTTCTTAAGATTCTAGAATGAAGAATCTAAAAACTGATGATCTAGGAACTTGAATAGGAAGCCTCTCAGTATTTTTTAAAGACCAAAGATTCTGTCAGACTTATTTATAAAGGACAATAAGGACTTATTTATTGTTAAGTATCTGAGAAATTTGTTTCCTAAGAATGAACAAGACTAATTATTTACATCATTAAATTTTTATTAAATCTCCTATACAAAAACTGGTAAATGACAATGCCATGTTTTAACAGGAAGCGCCGGATTGTTCTTGTACTGCTCACACAATTTTTCCCATTGAACCTCTGTTGGACTAAATATGGATTTCGATCTCAGATTGCCTTTAACAAACTCCAACTCTTTTAATATTTGCTGATTACGCTTTTCAGCTTCGGCCAGAGACAAAATCGAACCATCAATGTTGGTTACAGATCCAGATGTACCATCTTTCCAGCTAAAAAAATACAGTAGTTTAGCAATACAATTATTATATTGAATAAGTTACCTTTTGTGTAAAACATTTTCAATTTTTTCCTCTTGGGATTTGTACTTTATTAAGATTTCTTCTACTTCAGGAATCACCATTTTGTCGCAGGGAATTGGAATTGTTTTGTATGTATTCTGATTACCATGACAATATAAAGGGCCTAGTGCCATCCGCACCAAATAAGATCCTATTTTGATTAACTAGGTCATTTTTCAAGTTCAAGTAATTATAATATAAGTAGTACCCAAACCCTATGAGTACCTACCTCGACCAAAACCGATAACAATTTTAAAAAAAAAATTCAAAGTAGTATAATGCCACAATTATTTTAGCTCAGTATCACGAAAACGCTGATAAGCTTATCACAATAATATGTGGCTATAGGTACAGGTACGACCGCGTGTTGAACAATGTTCCTTCTTTGTTTGTTCAATGAGTTCAGACAAAGAACAATATATTGAGAAAAAATGTATTTTTAAATTTTAAATAATTATTATGGTTCAAGCTGATAGCCAGGTAGGTAGGTAGGTACTTGACTAATGCCATTGTTAGTTTAACATTCGTTTAAGAAAGTGTTGATTATTTTTGGTGAGTAGTAACAGGTACTTTTTATCAATAATATTTGGAAATTTTTTTAGATATTTATTGCTTTTTGGACAAAATTTGCCTCGTTTTGAGGCACTTCTCTGAAACCTACTATGAGTAAATGTATTGAGAGCAAGTATAAGTCAAAATTTAAGAAACAACAATAATTATTATATTTAGTTGATTTTTTATTGTTTAAATAATTAAAACATTTTTTTATTTTATTGACGCACACACACAATAGGTACTTTTAACATTTAACGATTGTGCACGACGTGATTTTTCACTTGGTTTCATAGTGATATCGGTACCATTTGATTCATTTGAAATTAAATTTTATTCCAGCAGGTAAGTAGTACTCATCCAACCTGGACAATGTGATAAACGTTCTGAACTGACTCGATCCGGGCAAGCAAATTTGGTGTTTTTGAAGCTAATTTGTTCGTTTGGCTCGAGTCAGCAACTAGCGTGTACCAAAAACTACAAGAATTTTGCCAATAAATTGGTTATCTGTTGCTGATAACAATTTGAAGTAGGTGAGTTTTAATTGGATTATTGGCTTCTGTATTTGTTTTCAGGTAAAAGTAGTTTAGCTAGAAATAATAAGCCACGTCGCATTGGTAGTTTCTAGCCTTTATCAATTATAATAATCGTTTATGGTTTTTACATTTTATTTTTAATGTTTTTAGTGATAGTGGATATACCTCATACGTTTATTATTTTTCGATTAGAACATTCATTTTACTAGAAATTAAAATGACTAATTCAGAGTTTCAGAAAATAGTTCAGAAGTTCTCAATACAAACTGCATTTGCTCCATTTTTGAAATATCAAATGCAACATATGATTTCTGGAAACTCTGGATTTTTCTTATAAAAGTGCATTGGTTGTTCTCCCAAGGCATTTCTAAAAGAAGAGGATTTTGGATTATGAATACCAAAGTCTACTTTATCGCATAGTTTGGCTCAGAATTTTCAAAATTCTGTTAATTCCTAAGTCTTTGCTGGATAATCCTCCTAGAAAGAATCAAGCATCATGATTACTTCTCAAAAAATTGATCTACAACATTTGGACTACAAATATTGTCATGATTGCCTCTAGAAAAATTGCCCAAGTAGATCAAGAGCCGCTAATAATCATAATTTGAACTATTCTTGGCTCTTGAATTGCTTGCAAATACTAATTCCGTGATTACAAGATTCTACAATCTCCAGAAATAAGTCTGTAAAGACAGAGTGTCTGGATTTATCATTCTACAACATTGGAAAATAAATCTTTGGAGCATCTTTGAAGTCTCCAATGATGTGTTCTGGTAATCCTCACAATCTTATTCAGGTCTTCACTGTATAATCTCAAATAGATGTGTGTGAGGCCTCAGAATCTTCAAAGTCTTGAAAATCCTTAGGACATTTATTTTACTAGAAATTAAAATGACTAATTCAGAAGTTTGGCAACAGAGTCTCAGAAAATAGTTCAGAAGTTCCCAATACAAACTGCATTTGCTCTATTTTTGAGATATTTAAGTGCAACATTTGAGTTCTGGAAACTCTGGATTTTTCTTATAAAAGTGCATTGGTTGTTTTCCCAAGGCATTTCTAAAAGAAGAGGATTTTGGATTATGAATACCAAAGTCTACTTTATCGCATAGTTTGGCTCAGAATTTTCAAAATTCTGTTAATTCCTAAGTCTTTGCTGGATAATCCTCCTAGAAAGAATCAAGCATCATGATTACTTCTCAAAAAATTGATCTACAACATTTGGACTACAAATATTGTCATGATTGCCTCTAGAAAAATTGCCCAAGTAGATCAAGAGCCGCTAATAATCATAATTTGAACTATTCTTGGCTCTTGAATTGCTTGCAAAGACTAATTCCGTGATTACAAGATTCTACAATCTCCAGAAATAAGTCTGTAAAGACAAAGTGTCTGGATTTATCATTCTACAACATTGGAAAATAAATCTTTGGAGCATCTTTGAAGTCTCCAATGATGTGTTCTGGTAATCCTCACGATCTTATTCAGGTCTTCACTGTATAATCTCAAATAGATGTGTGTGAGGCCTCAGAATCTTCAAAGTCTTGAAAATCCATTATAGGACATTCATTTTACTAGAAATTAAAATGACTAATTCAGAAGTTTGGCAACAGAGTCTCGGAAATTAGTTCAGAAGTTTCCAATACAAACTGCATTTGCTCCATTTTTGAGACATTCAAGTGCAACATTTGAGTTCAGGAAACTCTGGATTTTTCTTGCAAAAGTGCATTGGTTTTTCTGGAAATTGACTCTTGAAAAATGTGCGAAATCTCTTTTTAAATGCCTATATTATGCTTCAACTAGATTCTGGATACGAATTTTTTTCTGGTATAAATGCCCTTTTCCCAGGAACATGGTTCCTGTTTCTGACAACCCCCTCAACCTTCCTCGTTAGTATGAATCTAATCCCATGTACAGGTTTTGAATACCTAATTGTCATGTGATTACATAATTTTGTATATTTTCGAATGTACCATCGTCACCAAAAGTATCTGGGACACAAATAATGCATAAAAATCTCCTGGACTAATTCTGCTGTCATTCATTTCAATGCATTTAAATTATAGTTTGACAAATATTTGACAATAAAATTCATATAATAGGACAAGAGCTAATGTGATGCTGTCCCAGTTACTTTTGGTGACGATGGCACCTAATACCACAAGAGGTTTCAGGATTACCGGATAATACGCAGCAAACACCAGAACTCCGAAGGAGGAGTGGTATTGCTGGTAACGCGTTGAGTGTCAGTGTCAAGTAAAAGTATTAGGTAATTCTGAACCTAACAGCACATAAGATAGAAGTAGGAGAAGCGCAACCAATAAAAAGACGTCCATACAGAGTGTCTCAGAAAGAAAAGACAAATAATAGATGAACAAATCAAGGTGATGCTGGATAGCCATGTAATAAGACCTTGTCACTCCCCGTGGGCTAGTCCGGGTGGTTCTAGTAAAGAAAAAGGACGTAAAACGAGATTTTGTGTAGACCACCGAAAAATAAATGCCGTGACGAAAAAAACAACGTACCCACTACCACAAATAGACGACCTTTTGTCATACTTAGGGGACGCAGCATACTTTAGCACCCTGGACATGTTCTCGGAAAACTGGCAGGTACCTGTAGAAGAAGGATCATGGTACATATGAATTCAACGTTCTCAGTTTTGGGCTATGCAATGCTCCAGCCACCTTTCACGAACTTGCAGACCAAGTATTTTGGGATATGAAATGGAAGGAAGTACTTATATACCTGGACGACATTATAATCTTTCCAAAAACACTGGAGGAACACATAGCCAAACTAAGGAAGGTCTTAGAACGATTACGAGAAGCAAACTTAACACTCGAACCAAGCAAATGCGAGTATCTAAGAAAGGAAATAAAAATTTTGGGATTCAAGATCAGCGAAAAAGGAATTTTGCAAGTTTCGAAACCCAGTCCTGCAAACTGACCCACATAAAAGCGAAGAACAAGTAGAGCTCTCAACATTTGCTACAAGGACAGTAGAAATGAGAAAAATGCAGGAAGAATTTGGAAGAAATTCGAAAGGCAGTGAAAAACCCAGACGATCCAGACATTAATATTGAAACTAGAAGAAGAGCAAAAAATTTCAGAATCGAAGATGATTTATTATACAAAATTAATGAAACGCATAAAGATAAGGTCCTGGTTATAGCCCGTGGTCCCATGTAGGGTTGACCATATGGGAATAATGTACAATGAGTTGTATATTTATATAAATCTCCATTCGTAGGTCGTGTAGGCTTGGAAACAAAGTTCAAAATGTTATTGTATGGAAAAATTTGAGAATACCCCAGAAAATCGGCGATTGAGTTGAGAGAATTTGTAAATATTTCCAGTTCTCATATTGACTTTAATAAAACTTACAGCGTTTACAACCGAATGTTTCTTTTATAAGGCAAAATAAATCGGAAGTGATTTTAAAGGATTGGAAACAGTTGAGAAGTTTTTTTCTATGTTATTACATAGAAAAACTTGAGAAAACCCCCTAAAATTGTCATTGAGAGAATCTGAAAATACCTAGTTCCAGAACAGGCTTCCCCAGACCTTGAGGAATGTCTTGCAAGGTTAGAGTTGACAAGACTGACTTGTTAAATACTAGCAAATAGTCTCACGATGTCCAAGGAAAATAGATACTCAAGGAACGACTATAAATTCGGCCCTATAAAACTTCGAAACAAAGTTGAGAAGTTTTTCATTATTGCCTAGAAAAACTTGAGAAAACTCTCTAAAATCGTCATTGAGAGCTAGATTCTGTAAGTATTTCTAGTTCTCACATTGACTTGTGAAGTGAGTTTAAGGCTTTAAAACAAAGTTGAGAAGTTTTTTCCATGTTATTACATAGAGAAACTTGAGAAAACTTCATAAAATTGCCATTGTGAGAATCTAAAAAAACCTACTGGTCTTGCAGAACAGGATTCCTCATCAGACCTTAAGAAAGCCTTGAACGTTTAGAATTGAAAGGACTAACTTGTCAAATGTAATGCAAGTGTCAATTCCAAACTCATGTTTCACGATCTCCACAAGGAAATTACTCAACGAACGACTATAAAATTCGACCTTAAGGCTTTGAAATAAAAGTTGAGAAGTTTTTTCCATTATTACATAGAAAAACTTGAGAAAACCCTCTAAAATTACCATTCAGAGTTT